TGTGTGAAACAGAACTGTGGGCTAATGCACTGTATTGCAAAGTTGGTTTGAACCACAAAGCTGGTGGTTCAAGCTCACCAGCCACTCCTTGGAATCCCTATACAGGATCACTATGGGTTGGAACCAACTCGAAGACACTCAGCATATGTATGTGTGTGTATATGTATATATACATGTATGTTTGCATGTCTGTATATATGTGAACCTTCCAATTTGTGTGCTAAATTATTTTGTACTTTTCCCTGTACAGACGTCCAAATTAATATTTGTACCTGATTCTAGTTTTGTACTTTTGAGATCTGGTACCTATGTTTTATACAAGAAGCAAGGGAGGTGTCAAACAAGACTTTGGCCTCAGTTAGTTTAGCTGGTCCCAATGTAAGGAGCACGTCTGTAGCTCTGAGAAGTTCTCTGTTGCTGAGCCTTAATCTTCTTTAATTCTCAGACACCTGTGTTGTACATCTCTGTTCCAGGTGACTGCATCTAGAAACTTCCTCAGTCTCTGGGCATCCAGTGCTACACCTGCAGCCTCTTTTTGCTTAGATCTCCTCATCCCTTCAGAGTATTCAGACATGAAATATCCCTTGGTAATAACAAAACCAAATCATTCTACTGCTGGGCTCTATTGGATCCATGGGAAATACTTAGACACACCTAACTATGATGCCATGTCAGTCCCAAAGATACAGTCACTGTGCTGGCTCCTCAGATGAAGTGGAAAGTCTGGCATCAGATTCTCAGATATCAGACTTTAGTTTATAAACCACTTTAGCTTTCCCAAACCCGAGCTAGGCACCTTCTCTCTGCATCTCTTAGGGTCACAAAGTACATATCCGGGTGACTTTCCCTCCCTTAAGAGTCTCTCTGTCCCTGAGTGTAGGATTGAAATGTAGCGCTCCTCCTCCCCCAGCCTTCCCCAGGAGTTGTCATAGTGAACTCTGAAGAAAAGGTCAGCTTTCATCTCTCGCCGTCCCACCTCTGAACCTTTTTATTTTTCTGTCTGAGCAGATTTTGTTTTTACATCAGTGACAAGGCTGACTTGTGTTTTCACTTTTTTTCTCTCTCTTTGAATTGAGTGAAGGTTTACAGACAAGATCATCCGTTTTATATTCAACAATTCCTACACTTTGTTTCATCTCAGTGATTGCAGTCCCTTCCATGAAACAACAGTTGTCTCCCTCCCTCCTCGTGATTCCTGTTTCCATTCCACCCATCTTCCCATCCCTTCTCAACTCTGTCCTTAGGTAAATGTTGTCCTTTTGATCATGAATGATTGACCTTTTCAGGGTGAGCAGACTTCACTAGTGTTGTTGACCCCTCATGGATCTATCGATTACTTGACTGAAAATTAGGCCACGAAGTGATTTCCTTTCCAGACCTGAAGGGTGTCTGAGGGCCATTGTCTCAGGTCCCTCCAGTCTCTTTCTGACCAGTAAGCCTGGTTCCTTTTTTTGATATAATTTTGATTTTTGTTCCACATTTTCTCCCATTCTACCTAAGACCGTCTAATGAAGGAGTGGGAGAAAATGTAGAAAAGGCTCTATAAGATTTGCGAAATCATTTGGCCTGGCCCTGCCAAATCAACCAAGTTTGGGTGAATTCATTAAATGACCAAATATAGCCAGCTAATATTTAAGTTGATAATTTTGGATGGCTTGCAAATGATGTTATAAATTTTGGCAGATAAAGATTACCCACCCCTGTTCTAATGTGATCTGTTTCAGAGCAGTGGGTTGTGGTGGCCAGACACCATGCAGTTCTTCTGGTCTCAGAGTCATGGAGACTGTTGTTCACAAGTTGCATTAGTCCATTGGCCTGATTGATTCTAAGCATCTTCAGTTCTCCTCACTTGTCTTCCGCACATGGAGACACCAGTAGCTGCACCTCAGATGGCTTCATTTAAGCTTTGAAGAGCCCAGATGCTACTCACCAAAGTAAGATGTAGAACATTGTCTTTGTGGACTGTGTTCCACCAACTGACCATGGTGATGGTGTGCCCTGAGATGGTGGTCTTGAGCCCCTAGGCCCATTAACTCATTGCCTTAAGAAGTTTGATAATATCTAGGAAGTTTTCATCACTTTGCTAACTGTATGCTCTACCACATTCATAATTGTGTTTGCAGCACAGGTAAATATCCATGTACAAAGTCTCGTTCAAACCCTTTTATATTTGTGGGCCTGCTTCTCATACACATTCACCCTGTGTCTCTGTCCATGCATCTACCTGCAGAACACTGGTGTTCAAAGGTTGTGTTCATAACACTGTTTACCTCTGTCTGCTTTAGCCTTGCATTCCTCCCTGTGTCTTCACCTATCTTTCATCTTTCTTCTGCCAATCTTCTTGTATATTGCCTTCCCCATCACCTGCATTAACATGTGTCTACCCTCTAGCCAATTAATTATTCTCCTTTCCCTCCCAACCTGGAACATCAAATAATACTTCTTTTAGCACGAAACTTTTTCTTGAATTTTGATAATAGTTGACTGAGACAGTGTTGTCACCTTTTTAATACACTTTTGTATGTGTGACCTCTCCAAGGGGCGAGCAGCACAGATGGTGGTATAGGAGCAGATCGCTGCTCAGACTCAGTTTGGTGTCTGATCTTACTGCTTTCTCAGTGGAAGCATCTGGCATCTTTCTTCTGTTACTCCTCACATCTTCTCATTCTTCACCACCACGTTGATGTGAAGTGTCACTGCGTCGGTACCCTACTCACAGCATCTCTGTAGAGGGTCTCCAAGGCTGTAAATCTGTACAGGAGCAGAAAGCTTCGTCTTTGGTGTAAAGTAAATATTAACTAACGTCACTATTAATCATAGTTTTTGTATAATTTTTTACCTTTCCCAATTTGTTTTTCATTTGGACTGCTGACTCCCCATATCTGAGAAGGATTTAGCACAAGGAATTGGCTGCTTTTTTCCATTGCAATAGGAAGGACTAGAGGAGTGAACTCCATGAGACTGACCCCCAAGAATATCTTACAGAACAAAGCCCTTCAGAAAAAGCTTCTGTCTCTCTCATGATCAGAAAAAGAAAGAAAGCAGAAGCTACGCCTACTAACATATTAATTGCCTCTCATTACCCGGAAGCGCAGAGGTTATATATATACTGCAACCCTGTTGTTGGAAAACCCCTACCTCCATGACTGCCTGGCGAAGGAAACTAGCAAAGCGTCATTATAGTGCCCATTTCACGTCCACATTCCAAATCCCAAGTGTAACTGGTGATCAGACCAATTATCAACCGGAAGTCCTGGTGTGGCGCTGTAGGATAAGCACTCAACCTCAAGGTCAGTTTAGACCGCAAGATTGGCGGTTCAGATTCACCAGTCACTCCTCAGAAACCCTATACAGGGTTGCTGTGAGTTGGAACCGACTCAGTGGCACTTAACAATAACAACAATTATCAACTACAGTCATAGATGTATAGAAGTCTGGGAACAAAAGCAAAGAAAATGTTTAGCTTCTAACTTGTTTATTCTGTGAGGGATTTCTTGGTAGAAGGTAAAATGAATGCTGCCGGACATGTGTGCACTACATTTCCACAGATCTGGGTTTTCTTCAGCAGCATTAATTGTATACTCTTGTTTCTTGAAGGCCTGAAAGTGTCTTCAGCCTGTAGCTTTTCTAAGTATTAAGTGCCATCATTACAATTTTTCCTCAGAATTCCAGAAACCAGGTTACCTCATTGTTCTCTACCATTTCATGTTTTGGTTGAGAAATGAGATGCCAGTCTGATTTATTTTTCCTCACTAAAAACTTAAGCACTTTTATCACTCCAAGAATGATAGACATTTGTCCTTTAAAATGAAATTTAAAAAAACTGCTTCCTGGCACATAGTGAATCCTTTTGTTTTTAGGTAAATGACCTTTAATGTGATTAATGGTCTCTAAACTGTCATGGATCTAAATTATTTTAAAATTTGCCTTTTAAAAATTAATTTAAAAGAAAATTAATTCCATACCAATGAAGTACATTTCCTCCAACTGTTAGCTTACACCTCTTCTGCTGATTTTCCTCATGTATTCAGTGATTTTAGGTGCTTCACATTGTTGATCTAAGTCAAATGGTGCAGTGAAGAGCCAAAGTACGTAGGATTTAGGATCGTAACTGTCCCTTCCTTCTGGGATTGTTATATGGAAGGAACTAAGACACATGAAGTGCCTTGAATTGAGGAAGAGCTCATTGTCACTACTGTAACCCTTACTAGCTGGTGTGGAGGAGAGGATTTGTTTCAGAAGTAGTAGAGGTCCAGCTGTAGTCTCAGACTCTAGCCTGGACTCAGTAAACAGTGGATTCAAAGGCTCAGGTGGCTGGTGCTCCGGAGCAACATTTGTAACTAAAAGCTCGTAGATATTTGGAAGACATTTGCGATCCTACTCTATGGGTTGGCACCCTATCTCCTTCCTGTTGGTAATTATAGACAGGGTTATGCCTTCTACTTTGCTTGCGCTCCCTCATCTGGGCAAGTGGGTATAGGGGGAACTCTAAGGTACATGTTAAGCACGATTTTACTAGAATCCCCAGTTTTCATTTTGTCGTTGTTGTTAAATGCCATAGAGTTAGTACCAACTCATAGTGACCCACTGCACAGAAGAACAAAACACTGCCCTGTCCTGCCTCAACCTCACAATCGTTGCTACACGTGAGCCCATCGCTGCTGACACTGACACTCCATCTCACTGGGGGTCTTCCTCTGTTTTATTTCAGAAAATCTTAAACCATACTGAGTCCAGAGCATCTACTAATTTGACATCAGATTGATTCCTCTCTTTAGTAAAACACAGTGATACTTTATACAGGATTTTTACAGTAGAATTTAAAATACAAAGTGAGAATGGCACCAAAAAAGAATTACTGAACAAAAGAGTACATTTGTTTTGTTCACACAATTCTGAAAATTAGACCCATTTTCAGGGCCATGAATTTAACAAAGCACTTCAAATGTTGGCATTTGAAAATAGCTGGTGGATATTGAAAATGTGTTGGGCAGTGTAACATTTCTTTGATTATGATATAAAAACAACTTATTTTAAGTATAGACTATTTCCTATTTCAGTTATTATAATATATCAAAGATGTGAAAAAATAACTTTAGTTATAAATCTAGTACACAATAGCAAGGCTGCACAAGAATTTGAATAATTCTGAGTAAATAAAGAATATTGGATTTAGTGAGTTGTTTTTGTACAGTCCAGATTTAAATTAAATTCAAAATGATTGCATAATTTTGAAAAATGTAGCACAGTTCAGGATATCTTAACTGACTGTAGAAAAAAGCAAATGTGGTATTTACACAGGAGACATCACTTATGCTTGTTGTAAACAGAATTAGGTGTTGTTTAAGCCATCATAATTTTATGACTCATCTTGAAATAAGAATTTTTCTACTTTTAGGCATGAAGGAACTGACTCTCAAAAAGATGTAGGAAATGTCATTGTTGTATTGAACAGCTTCAAAAGCAAGATTCTGGAAGTGCAGGTATGTGAGCCAAAAGCTTTTTATGCTATTACTTCTAATACCAAGAATGATCTTCTTTATCTTTAGTTTATTAATTTTTACCTTAAGAGCTAATTTTAGTACCTAAAATATATTAGAACTCTGGCAGTAAAAAAAAGAAAAGGATTGTTTTTATAAATTGAGGGAAACCAGAAAGCTTTAAATACAAGAGAAGGGATTTTTTTTTTTAAAGTTATAAGAAATATACAGCCACATGGACTATGTCTGTATATTACTATAAATTACAATGGGATAAAAAATGTGGGTTTAAAATTAGCCATGAAAAAAAAGCAGTAATCTTTCCTTCAGTTAAAAAAAAAGAATCTTTAATGATGTCAGGTTTACTTCTTTTGGATCAAACCTCCTTAAAACTAATAAAAATGCTGGTTAAAATGTTTTGTTTTCTACTGTTTTTAATTCTGAAAAGCAGTGAAGAGTTGTTGACAACAAAGATAAGGAAATGGAAATAGAAAGCCAATATTAAAGAGAAGCTAAGAATGTAGTGAAAAGAGCTCTGGTAGCGTAGTAGTTACGAATCGGGCTGTGAACCTTAACGTCAGCAGTTCGAAACTACCGGCTGTTCCGTGGGAGAAAGATGAGGCTTTCTACTCCTGTAAAGCTTTACAGCCTCAGAAACCCTGTTACAGGGTTGCTATGGTTGGAATCGACTCAACAGCACCTAACAACAACAACAAGAATGTAGTGAAGTCAACAAGCAGAGAGCTTGTGTTACCCTGAGGAAGCTGCTGCTACTGCCCTGAGAACATCTGTCTATCCTGGCACAGGATTGTTTGGATTCAGGTTTCAGGGATAGAAACAAGAAAAAAAACAACGCAGGATCCCATATAAAGTGGATAATCCATTAGGAGACCTCTACAATGAGCTGTTTAGACATAAGGAAAAAGGGCCCGTCAGTAAATTATCTCACGTAGTTTCATTTTCTAGTCCAAATTAGTCGACTCTACGGCACTTCACAACAACAACAACAAATAGTCCAGGCATCCACAAGCCTGGGACTTGCACTAAAGTAGTTTCAGAATGGTAAGAGTCACAAACATCTAAGAAAAGTATTCATAACTTTCTGGTAGAAGATTACTAAATTCTGTATGGATTGGATCTCAGTGTAAAGAAAACGAAAATCCTTACCACTGGACCAGTAAACAACATTCTTAGCAATGGAGAAAAGATTGAAGTTGTCAAGGACTTCATTCTTCTTGGATCAACTATCAACACTCATGGAAGCAGCAGTCAAGAAATCAAGCGACGTACTGCATTAGGCAAATCTGCTGTACAAGACCTTTTTCAAGTGTTGAAGAGCTTGAGGACTAAGGTGCACCTGACCCAAACCATGGTATTTTCAATAACCTCATATGCATGCGAAAGCTGGACAGTGAATAAAGAGAAGACCATAGAAGAATTAATGCTTTTGAGTTATGGTGTTAGAGGAGAATATTGAAAATGCCATGGGCTGCCAAAAGAACCAATAGATCTGTGTTGGAAAAAGTACAGCCAGAGTGCTCCTTGGAGGCCAGGATGGCCAAACTTCGGCTGTCATACTTTGGACATACTGTCAGGAGGGACCAGTCGCTGGAGAAGGATATCATGTTTGGTAAGGTGGAGGGTCAGAGAATAAGAGGATGACCACCAGCGAGATGGATTGGCAAAGTGGCAGCATCAATGGGCTTAAGCGTGGCAGCAATAGTGAGCCTGGCCCAGGATTGGGCAGTGTTTAGTTCTGCTGTGTATAAGGTTGCTATGAGTCGGTACCGACTCAATGGAACCTAACAACAACAAAACTACAAATAGAATTTTTCAAGTGCAGAAAGTAGCCCATGGTCAAAGGAACTGAATACACAATTACAACCAGCAGAATGAACAAACAACAAAACAGACACGTGAAGATTTTGTTTATTAGAATTACTGACACAGACTCTGAAACAGCTCTACTTACTGAATTTTAAGAAATAAAAGATAAATTTGAAATTAATTGCAGGGAACAGGAAACTATAAAAAATGTGTAACAGATTATTTTGAAAGTAGAACTTCTGAAACAATTCTTGGGAGAGCACGGGGGATAAAAGACTTCGATAAACACTTTTGATGAAGAGAAATATCTCAGGCACATTCAAATGTCCTTTAAAATGACAGGCATTAAGCTGTCTGCAGCAAACCAGGAGAGGATGTGTGTGTAGCTTTTGGGAGAAAAGAAATATGAATGAGGGGAAGAGAAATGAGATGGAGATCAAGGAAAGGGAATCGTTAGGAGATGGTTCAGATATAATGTCTATGTGAACCCCCAAACCTCTAGTCAACTAAAAATGAAAAAGGGGCCCTGGGAATTGGCAAAGAAGCTGAGCTTTGCACTCAGGGGAAACCAAATCATGTGCAGTGTGCTTTTGGAGAAGCCAGGTAGGCAAGGAAGTATCACTGGCGTCAGAGTTGTAGGAAAGAAATTCTCTCATGTTGTCTTGAGATGCACTTGAAGGCTAACACACCTGAACCCATGATGATATAGTGCTGCTCACAGACAGTGAGCACATGTGTCCAGAAGAGCACATCTCTGGAGCAGTAAGAAATCCCTGCCCTCTGACTACTCAAGGGTATCCCATGCGGCATGGTACCTCATGAGACAGAACCTAATACTTGGTCAAGTGGGCAATGTTAAAAGCACATTCAAAGCTGATTTAAGAAAAATGTTCTGATTTTACATATGCATCAGAAGTTCCTCAAATTCTCTAGTAGAGTCATTGACAAAAGATCCACAAAAGACCCTAATAGCTACCAAGAGAAAAGGCAGGACTCTGCAATACCATGACACTAATATGAGCATCAGACTTCATTCTCAAACGGAAGGCTAAGAGATGACGAAACACAGCCTTAGAGTGCTAAGAAAAATCATTTTGAAAATGCAGTTATCATTGGAAGCACAAAAAATGTGGACAATTTCTTCTTCACACTCCTTAATATATTTGCTAACACAAGACAACATGAGTAATAAACTAGAAAATACAAATATGTGGTCAAGAAGACAGCTGCACAGACACACACACACACATGCACGAGTATCTCTCCCAACAAGGAAAAATGCAGATAATCAAATTCTAAGAAAAATACTTCTCCAGTGGTAGCATGGAAGAAAGCATCATTCATTTGAATAAGCAAGAGCATCCTCTGAGTGTACAGTGGTCATGGCAGTATAACTGGACATAATCAAATCTCAGTACCTTTTCTGTCCTCTCTAGTTCCCTACTGTAAATAACAGTTACATTTTCAATGGATACGAGTAATGTTACTAGTTTACAAGTTGCTAACATTATAACCAAATGTAAAAGATTATGTTTACTAAAGTAAATATAAATAGTATCCATATTTACATTGGTCAAATGAGAATTTAGCAAATATAAGTTAGGAAATAGAGGAAAACTATAGGAGTATTAGTATTCTTGTAAACTGGCTATACATGACAAACTGTTGAAGCTGTTGGAATAAAAAAAAAAAAGATATTTAAATCTTATCTAAAGCTATTACTACCACAACGTCCAGGCATAGAAGGAAAGGCAGAGAGGGATGATGTAGACAACTAATACCTCATCTCTCCTTGTTGTCGTTGTTGGGAAGTGCCGTCAAATGGGTTCCAACTCATAGTGACTCTGTATAGGGTTTCCAGAGAGCAGCTGGTGGGTTTGAACAGCCAACTTTGTGGTTCACGATCCAGTGCTGATCCTCCAGTGGCACACCAGGAGCTGAGAGTAAGTCATAACTGAACCTGTGACTCGTGAGTCAAAATTGACTGGACGGCAGTGAGTTTGATGTTTTGTTTGTTTCTTTTGGGTAAACTCTGTGAACTCAGAAATGCCAGTAGATAATTTCTGAGGTTATTTAATCAGTAAGTATGAGACAAAGCATATAATTTAGTAGTACAGGGATAGCCACTGTTGCTATTGTTAAGGAGTGCCTTGGAGGCAGCCGCTAAAAGAACTCAAAATGAGCTTGAATTGATAGTAGAAAACCAAATTGTGTTTATAGCATTGTGCTAAGATAATGTCTGGCTCCATTTACTACAACTACCTTAGATTTCCAAAGAACCATGCAGCGTAGTATTTAATACTGCCAAATTCTACTATTTCAGGTACAAAAAACCCCAGGCAAAATTGAGGAAGACATCCTTACTGATAAAGATGACAAAAAGAAAGGAATGTGGGATTCCTTGAAAAGGTAATTAATAATGGATATTTTGACATATAATTATAGGTCCATTAACGATCTACTATGTGGAAATATGAAATTTTAAGTAAAGCACAGATCCTATTCTGAATGAATAATGTTGTTTATTGTTAAGTGACCTTGAGTCAGTTCCAACTCATAGCAACCCTATATAGGGATTCCATGCAGCTGTTGGTGGGTTTGACCTGCTGACCTTGTGGTTAGCAAGTCCAGGGCTTATCTTACAGCGCCATAAATGTTCACACTATAAGAAACAAAATTACAGCACTAAGACAAAAAGTACTGCCACTAGTGCGCCAGTTCACACATGTACAAGTTTGTTACAAACAACACATGTTTAAACATGTCTGTGTGATCAGTGGGTGGCTGCAGACCAGTTCTTCCTGAAATACACTTGTCTTGGTCTTGTCAGGGAGCCTTAAAAAAAATGGTCCGGTCAAACAGTGGCTTCCAAGAGCATCTGCTGAGCCAGTTACATTCCACGCAGAGAAGTCAGGGTTACCCTGGTAACCCTCAAAAAATGTTTCTTTTAGTGTGAAAACCTTTTTGTGACTCTTTATAATAATGTTAAATTTTCTTAAAACTTCCTAATAAGCCCGCATGAATATCCTGAAGCCTTTGAGAACATTTATCAAACTGATCCCTTCAGAAGCCCAGGAAACCTGAAGCGACTGGTGATTGGAGCCCTGGTGTGGCGCTGTGGGTGAATGCACCAGACTGCAAAGCCATTTTGAACTGCAAGTTCAGCAATTCAAACTCACCAGCCACTCCTCGGAAACCCTATACAGGGTACACTACGGGTCGGAATCGACTCAGTGATACTTAACAACAACAAAGGGGTGGTTAGTGTAGTGAGCTATGAATTGGGCTGCTAACAAGGTCAGCAGTTCAAAGTCACCAGTCACTTTGTGGGAGAAAAATGAGGCTTTCTGCTCCCATAAAAATTTGTAGCTTCAGAAACCCTATACAGGATTGCTCTGAGTCAGAACTGCCTCCATGGCCCACCACCACCACCACCACCAGGGGTGAGAGGGAAAAGGAATGTAAATTACTAACTGTGGGGGTGGGGTTATGTGCCATTGAGTTGGTTCCAACTCATAGGGACCCTGTATAGGGTTTCTGATTGTAAATTGTAAGGAAGCAGAAAGCCTCATGTTAACTTGCATGAAGGGGAAGGCAATATAGAGTACAAGTGTGTTCAGCAAAAACTGCTGGAGGCAGCGAGACACTGGGAAAGGAGTGCAAGAGTTAAAGGCAGCAGGGACAAATACGGTTATTTTAAAAAGAGACAGAAAAGAAAATTGAAAACTGCGTTGGTGGGGAAAAGGTCAGGAAAGTTGACTTAGGAATTTTTTCCATCACAGTACACCTCATTCTACAAGGGTAACATGAGCTGTCCTGTGAGAATTTCCTTGGGAAAGCTTACCTATCCACCTTATAGCCCTGATATTGACCATTCAGACTTCTTGGAACTCAAAGAAATTTAAGAGGAACATGATTTGAGCCCCTCAAAGATGCTGAAACTGCCGTTTTGACATGGCTTAAATTGAAGAGCACAAAATTCTTCCAGAAAGGGCTAGCGATATGGAAACACCCCTGCAGAAGTGTATAAACTTAGATGGAGAAAATGTGGAGAAGCAATGCTTCACGTTTTGACATTTTTGTTTAATGAAGGTTTCTGTGATTTTGTGGTAATACCTTTGGACTTAGCGTCATATAACTAATTTCGTCAAGAAAGGACTCTGGAGAGGTGTGGCTAAGGTGTGTTCTTAAGAATGGACACAATTTCAGAAATTAGAGATAGGGGAGAGTACTTTCTAGGTGAGGTACCTTAATACATAAAGTGAAAAAAGATTGAGTTTGGGGGAAGAATATTGAAAGCTTAGCTGGGACATTGGATATAGTAGGAAATCTGTAAGACAGATTGGAACCTATATTTAAAAAAAAGGAGAAAGTGGCTCACATATCTAGAGTTTAGGAGGAGAGTTGACTTTGGGCATTTAGGAGATGTAGCCTATAAACTTTCTTCATCTCTAATTTCTACTCTTAACCTGCTTCAATTTTCAGACAATTTTTTCCAAGTAAAAGTTTCCCTCTTCCAGTGGCAAGAGAATCCCTATTTTGAAATGCTTCCACCAAAAGTTCCAAGGCTGGCTTGTTGGTCCAGCTATAGCCATGTGTCCCAAAGTGAGCTGGTTATTGTAACTTGGATTGACCAAGTTTGGATTCTATGCTTACTTTCACAGCTAGTGGCAAGGCCTACCCTTCCTAAATGTCATGAAATAGAATTGGGGAATGAGAATGGTTCATCAGAAGTTAGGTTGCCTTTCCTAGAAAGGATAATGGGTATTAGGTAGGCATACACAAACGCTGTTGTAGACCCACATTATTGAAAACTCTTTTATGTCCATTTTAGAGATTTGAACTTAATTTGAGAATCTTGGTCATTTTGATCATGGGGGGGGGAAAACCTCCACTGTTTTAGAAACTGCAGAAACAATAGGCTAAATAGCTTCAGCAACCAAAGCAGATTTTGTTAGATGAGTCAGAAGTGCTCCCGCATTTTGATATTTGCCCAGTTTGGGTTTCTTTTTGTAGAGCTGACTCCCTGTGTGATACTATGGCCCATGCTGTACTGGTATACACACTGAACTAGCTGTTGATGGAGAAGGGTTCAAACCCACTCATGTAGACATGAGTTAGAGGGGAACGTAAGTTTGACAGACATGATGTGGCACTGTAGGATAAGCACTGAATCACAAGGTTGCTTTGAATTGCAAGGTCAATGGTTCAAACCCACCAGCATCTCCTCGGAAACCCTATACAGGGATGCTGTGAGTTGGAACTGACTAGACAGCACTTAACAACAACAACAAATGTTTGACAGAAGATAATTGATTAGATTTTGGGTATTTTTTAAATGATCTGACCAAGAACTTCCATAGGTAGAGATGAGAATGAGTATAAATTTCATATTATGGTTGGTACACAAAAGGATGGATGCCAAAGCCAAACCATGCTGTGCAGAAAGGCAGAGCATGGGCGTGGGGGTCCTGATTGCTCCAGTACATCAGTGTCAGGTCTCACACTGCTTCCGTTCTTAGTTTTCACTCTGATTTACAGTGGGGCTTTCCCCACATAATCAACTCTGCTTTTCTTAGTTGGAGGATTACAGTAAGAAGGTATTAGAAAAATTACTTCCGTTACAATAGTTTGTATTTAGCAAACACATTTCACTGATAATTGCAAGTTGTTTTCCAAATTTTAATCATTTGAGATATCAGTGTATGTGAAAATAAGACTATTAAATAATTGTTTAAAATGAGATGAAAAAGAATAATAAAATGGATAAAATGAATACTCCAAGTTAAATATTCCATGATTTTTGCATATGGGATGGATCATACCAAAGGCTGGTCTGGATCCAGAAAGTAATGAAAATGACAGGTAGGCCCCAAATTAAGCTGCAGTGTAAACTGCTAAGTGGACATGCCTCCTCTAAAGTGCATGGAGTGGAGAGTTTATAAATCAGAGGAGCCTTATGGCATTTTGTGAGGGAGCCACGTTGGCAGCGTTCAGAATCTACCCTAATAGCACATATGTAGATCCTTGCTATGGGTATCCATTTCCATATTCTGTTTTCTTCCTGCCTTATTAGCCTGTCTGAAGTTTCAGTGCATAGGAATGGCCATGCTAGACCTCAACTCAATCTTTTTTGTCAAAACAACTTTGAAACTCTCAAAGATAGACTCTATTCTGTCTGTTATAACCTGTCCCTCCAAAAAGTAAACTAAGGAATATTAATTGCCTCATGTCATTTTAATACTATTGTTGTTGTTAAGTGCCATCAAGTCAGCTCTGACCCATAATAACCCTGTATAAGATTTCCAAGGAGCGGCTGCTGAGCTTGAACTGCCGACCTTGCTGTTCAAACAGACTTTGCAGTCCAGTGCCACACCAGTATACCCATTTTAATACTAGCAGTTTATAATTGTTGAGATGAGATCATTTTTTAAAGTTTAATAACTTCATTTTGAAAGCCTTTCATATTATTATTGCTTATCAAATTTAATTTAATTTTGTTATTAAATTTTAAAAATGTATATTAAGAAGCTGTCAATGATTTCTTTTTCCAAGTTTCACAATAAGGTTGCATAAAGAAGACAAAAGGGAAACAGATGTTATCAACATTTTTTCAGTTGCTTCTGGCCACTTGTATGAACGCTTTTTAAGGTATGTATCTGTTTCTTTTAGTTAATGTTTTGAAAAGGTACCACACTGGCATGGTCCAGTACTCCAAAAGCATCTCTCACTTTGGCTTCCTGGGTGTCCTACTCTCTTTCCCACTACAAACCAGTATTATTAATATAATTCTTGTATCCTGTCAAAGATTGTTATGCATTTACCAGGTATATATAAGCAGATAGGTATGTATATGTATATGCATACATATATATGCATACACACACACACACACACGTATGCTTTTTCTCTTTTTAACTCCTTTAACCCAAATAGTAATAAAGTATATACTGCTTTAAACCTTGCTCTATTTTTTTAACTTAAAATTATAAAGTAAAAAATCTATTTTTAAATCAGTAGACTTTCATGAGTGTCACTTGGAACAGAGCTTTTCTTTAATGCTCAAAACCAGATGTACTTTTATCCCTCACTTTTCTGAAGTTCACTTTGTACCACATCGCTTTTATGAAAGACCTACCTTAGGACCTATTTCCTCAACCTGAAAGAAATTGGAAGAGGATTTTCAATTTTACTAAAAAAGGCAAAAAGCAAAACTAGAATTCACATTTTTTTCCAGCTGACCCTTTAAAGAGGCAGCATTCGCCTCGAGCAGCAAGAGTGGCATTGCCAAGCTCCTTTTCTGGGAACCACATCAGCATCTCAGCATCATCCCGCGGGGTTTTGAACTTTATCTGTGAGCCCTATATGTTAGGGGTACTTTCAGTTTCATGTACTACTTGGTAGGTTAATTTTGGGGTCAGGGAATACTAAAAAATTTTCTCGTTTAAACGAATGGATATTGCTCTTTGTTTTGTTTGCCATTTTGCCTTAGGAAAGGTTTAGTAGGGATGCTCTACCTTTGGATAATGGGGGAACCTGTAACAAGATAAGTGACAAAAGGGCTATCATAAATTTTTCTTTTCTGGTGAATAGCTTTGTTCAAATAACAGAAGGCTAAGGAGAACTAAGTATATTTACGAATGACAAAGGGTTATTTTTAACACTTTCTACAAGAATAAAAGAGATTGCCTAATTAATGTTTCAATTACAGTGTAGATATTTTAAAATAGAACTCTAAATATGCTTGCATTTTCTCTGAATGGTTTAGGATAGGAAAAAAAGTGAATTTGTTCAACGAATTTATCAGTATAGAGAGATCATTCAACTCTTAAAGTTTTGCATGCCTAATAGTAATAGGAGTTCAGGTGTGGCACTGTAGGGTCAGCACTGGATGCTAACCACAGATTGGCAATTCAAACCCACCAGCCACTCCTTGGAAACCCTGTACAGGGTGATTCAGAACTATGTTGACTGTACTTAACACCCTCAGCGCAATAGTAATCACACTCTGTCATAGAGTCAACATTCAATTCTAATTCAGTGGAACAAGGCTGTTTTAGACTACCTTCTCTTTGTCAAATTAAAAAATTAAAAAGCAATTAATTTAGTGATGTCATATGCATATATATAGTTTTTCAAGCTTATATGTTGCATGCTTGAACAACCATAATATTTTAAGATACAAGGGGACGTTTTAAAAGTTCATGGAAAATTGAAATTAAAAGATAAAAATAAATATAAACTTTGTTTCTCAACATAAGCTCCATCAAATTCATTTTTTGTTTGGGGAACTTTTTGTTGTGAATTGAGTAAAGGTTTTCCAGAGAAGATCATCAGTTTGTACCCAACAAATCACACACTTAGTTTCATCTCAGTGATTGCCGTCTCCTTCCTATAACAACACTTAACACCGCTTCCTCCCTGTGTTCCTCTTTCCATCCCCACCTCCTTCCCAACCGCTCTGAATCTTGTCCCCAAGTAAATGCTGTCATTTTGATCTTGAATGGTTCACCATTCCATGGTGAACATGCTTGATAAGTATTGTTCCTCCCATCTGCCTGTCTACCACTTGGTTGAAAATTGGGCAATGAGAGTAAATTCCATTCCAGACCTGAAGGGTGACCGAGGGCTATGGTCTCGGGTCCCTCTAGTCTCTTTCTGACCAATAAGCATGGTAAGTTCAAGACATGTTTATAAGCAATGATACCAGCTATTTAGTCCATCCCTAAAGAACTTTAAGGTCCTGGGAATTGAATCATGTCATTGCAGAACTTTTTGCATGATTAATTGAAGAAAAATGTGTGTCGTTTAAATCTTTTTTAAGATTAGGAAGCAAACATGTCTGACGGAGCTAAATCAGAACTGCACAGTACATGCCTCATTGGTTTCCCATTGAAAAAACATGTCTGACGGGCTAAATCAGAACTGCACAGTACATGCCTCATTGGTTTCCCATTGAAAAAACATGTCTGACGGGCTAAATCAGAACTGCACAGTACATGCCTCATCGGTTTCCCATTGAAACCCTCCCCGAATTTCCCTTGTTTGATGAGAGGAGTGAGCCAGACAGAGCATTGTTGTGATAGAGAAGGATTCTTTGGTAAAGCTTTCCAGCATGCTTTTCTGCTAAAAAGTTGGCTAACTATCTCAAAATACCATCAAAATAGGCAAGTGTTGTTACTGTCTTTTGGCCCTCCAGAAAGTCAGCAAGCAAAATGTCTTAAGCATCACCAAAAATGTTGCCATGACTTTTGCTCTTAACTGGACCACTTCCACCTCTTAGTAATCATTGCTTTGATTGTGCTCTGTCCTCAGGATTGTTGTTATTGTTAAGTACTGATTAATGGCTACCCTGTATAGGGTATCTGAGGAGCGACTCGTGAGTTTGAACCGCCCATCTTGCGTATCAAACCAACCTTGCAGTCGAGTGCTTATCCTATAGCACCAGTATTCCAGTCTTCAGGATAGTACTTGCAAAGCCATATTTCATATCCTGTTAAAATTCTTCAAAGAAATACTTCAGGATCTTGATTACACTTGTTAAAAGTGTCCATTGAAAGCTCTGTTCTTATTTGTAGTTGATCTGGGTGCAATAGTTTAAATGCCCATTGAAAGTTGGCTCAGCTTTAATTTTCACTCAGAATTATGTAAGATAAACCAATTGAGATGTCTACAGTGGGTATTGTTTCTGCTTTTAATTGTTGGTCCTTTTCAGTTAGGGAACCAACACGATTGTTTCTTCACAAATTTATGTGCGTGGTCTATTGCTTTGGGCTTCATCTTCAACATTGTCTCATCCTTTCTCAAAGCAAGTAAACTGCTGATTCTTTGGGACATTGTCCTCATAAACTTTTTGTAAAACATCAACGATTTCACCATGTTTCCAAGTAAACATCACCATACATTTGTTGTTCTTGTTTCAGTCTTGAGAAGTTCTATGTGGCTCTTACAGGTTTTCTGTTGTAAACTGGTAACTTTCTTAGTTCCTTAAATTAGCTCTTGCTCCAACATGTTACAGCAAGTTAGTATGAGTTTATTTTGTGCAAACAAATTATAAAATCCTTGCATAGGTTTTTTTCATAATAAATATTTTCCATGAACTTTTTGAAGACCCTCTCATATTTCAGTCTGTTACACACTTTTTTTAATTAATAGTGAAAACTTCTGACATGGAATGTTTAAGCAATTTAAGAAAAGTAGGATGAACTCCTCTTAATGTTATTTTATAACAAGTTTAATCTTTTATACAGAATTATGATGCTTTCTGTTTTACGTCACACTAAAACACCAGTGAAATTCTGGTTTCTAAAAAATTATCTCTCACCAACATTTAAAGTAAGTACGATGATCTTTTTATTTTATGATTCTAGATAAATTGGTATTGAAGGCCACCAGCTGTCCGTTAGTTTGTTCTAGTCTTGTGACTTGCACTAGTCTGTGATGCTGGAAGCTATGCCACCAGTATTTCGCATACTAGCAGGATCACCCATGCTGGACAAGTTTCACTAAAGCTTCCAGATTAGGAAGACGGACCTGGTAATGAGTTTTTAAAAGAAATTGACCAATGAAAACCTTATGAATAGTAGTGAAATGTTGTCTGGTCGGGTGCTGGAAGATAAACACCTCCAGAAAGATCCACTTTCTCAAAGTAGGGTTGACCTGAATGACATGGATTGAGTAAAGCTTTCAGGACCTTCATATGCTGATGTGTCTGTCATGACTCAAAAAAAAACAACACTACAAGTATCAGTTAATAATCAGAACATGGGACGTATGAATTATTAATCTGGGAAAATTGGTAAATTAAAAATTAAATACAGTGCATACAAATCAGTATCCTAAGCATTAGTGTGCTGAAATGGACGGATAATGACAGTTTTGAATCAGACAATCATATGGCCTGTTATGCTGGGAATTAACAAATTGAGTAAGAATGGTGTCAATTCATCATCCAAAAAAAGTTTCCAAATCTATCCCAAAACATGTAGCTGTCAGCGATTTAAACAAGCTGATATTGTTGTTACATGCCATCGAGTCAGTTCCGACCCATAGCAACCCTGTATAGGGTTTCCAAGCACCAACCAACTAATGTCAAAGATGAAGAAATGAAGGTTTTTACCAATTTTTGTGTTCTGAAATTTATCAAACAAGCAATTCAGATGCCTTGATTGGAATGCAAAAGTTAGACATGAAGAAATGCTCTTGTTGCTAATTGTCATCAAATCAATTCCAACTCATAGTAACCCTATTTCCAAGGAGTAGCTGGTGGATTTGAACCACTGACCTTGTGGTTAGCAGTCGAGTGCTTATCCTACAGGACCACACCCAAACTCCAAAGAAGGAATAGGAATAGTAGTTTGAATATAATGTCCTGATAATAAAAATGACACCAAGATGATAAATTTTTACAAGAACAGTTTATTATTAATTTAATATACCTTTTTTCAGCAATATAAACAAAGACTGTACACATGGACTTTGCAAAGGCATTAAGTTGACTATGTCTGTGGGAACAGTGATAGAGAAGTGCAGTGCCATACGTCAGAGCTAGACCAGGGGCTGACTGCAGAACTGACCATGAGTGGCTACTGTGTAAGTGCGAGTCAGCTGAAGAAAATTAAAACACGTCTACAAAAGGCAAAATACAACCTTGACTATACGCCACCTAAATTTAGAGACCATCATTAAACCATAATGACCAAAGACCAGACAAGTTGTGGGATGACATCACAAATATCATATATTAGGAAACCAAATGATCAATTAAAAGGCAAGAAAGAAAGAAAGGGCAAAAATGGATGTCAAAAGAGACTCTGAAACTTGTTCCTGAATGTAGAGTGGCTAAAGTGACTGGAACAAATGATGAAGTAAAAGAACAGAACATTTCAAAGGACAGCTCAGGAAGACAAAGTAGAGGGTTATAATGAAATGTGTAAAGACCTGGAGTTGAAAATCAAAATGGAAGAACATGGTTGGCATTTCTCAAGCTTAAAGAACTGAAAAAAAAATAAAAAGTTGAGCCTTAGGTTGCAATATTGATGAATTCTGTGGTCAAAATACTGAACAGGAAGCATCAAATATGATGGGAGTTATGCAAGTCACACAAGAGTTGGTTCACACGTTTCAGGAGGTCGTGGATGGTCAAGAAATGGTGGTGCTGAAGAAGAAGTCTACGCTACATTGAAGGCGTTGACAGATATCAGGGTTCCAGGAATTGACGAAATACTAGTTGAGATTTTTCAATAAATGGATGTAATGCTGGAAGCCAAGAAATTTGGAAGACAGCAACCTGACCAACTAACTGGAGAAGAGTCTTGATTTGTGCCCATTCCAAACCAGAGTGATCCAAGAGAATGCTGTGATCATTGAACCATATCGTGACTATCACACACAATTAAAATCTTGCTGAGGATAATTCAAAAACAGATGTAGTCATATATTGGTAGGGACCTGCCAGAAACTCAAGCTGAATTCTGAAGAGGACATGGCATGAGGGATACAATTACTGATGCCAGATAGACCTTGCCTGAAAGCTGAGAGTACCAGAAAGATGTTTGCTTGTGTTTTATTGACTAGGAAAAGTATTTAACTGTGTAGATCACAACAAATTTTGGCTAGCATTACAAAGAATGGGGCTTCAGAATGCTTAATTATGCTCCTCCAGAATCCATGAGTTAAAATCAGGAAAGCTGTGCATCATGGTTCATCACACTTTTTCATTCTGTATGCTGAGCAGATAATCTGAGAAGCTGGGCTATCTGAAGAAGAACGTGACATCAGGAATGGAGAAAGATTCATTAACATAACCAGGACTTGAAGTATTTACGAAGATATAAGATTTTAACCTTGCCTATCGTTTACACTTTAACATAAAGAAAACAAAAATCCTTATGACTGAAACAGTAAACAACATAATGAAAAATGCAGGAAACATTGAAGTTGTCAAGGATTTCATTTTACTTGAATATATAACCAATGGCCATACAAGCAGCAGTCAGGAAACCAATTGGTGGATTGCTTTGGGCCAATCTGCTATCAAAGACTTCTTTAAAGTGTTAAAAAGCAAGGATGTCACTTGGAGGATTAAGGTGTGTCTGAGTGTAGCCAGGATGTTTGTGTGTGCATTTCTAACCAACCAACATACTGGCATACACATAAACTGTTTGATGCATAGGTGTTCCAAAATCCAGAGGCTCTTTCTAAAGCCTTGTTTTTTCCAGTCAAACATTAATAGTAAATGTTAGAGATCATATATCTTAGTAATAAGCTTGCTAGCTAACACAGTATACATTACATTAAATTACATAGTTTTATATTTATATTTTTATATTTGCCAGTATCTTTATATATCTCATTAGTAGGTGTAAGTTTTATAAGAAGTAGTATGTAGGCCTTTTATCTGTTAGTTTGTAACAATTTATAGTAGTCTCTACCTTTTAAAATGGTTTTGGTATTTTATTGCCTCTAAAACAAAACTCCTCTCTCTTCCTTGAATATACTGAACTTACTGTTTGATTTGTGTTGTGTGTTACCTTTTCAGGAAGTAATTCCTCACATGGCTAAGGAATATGGATTCCAATATGAGCTAGTCCAATATAAGTGGCCCCGTTGGCTTCATCAACAAACTGAAAAGCAGAGGATTATTTGGGGTTACAAAATTCTTTTCCTTGATGTCCTTTTTCCTCTAGCTGTGAACAAAATCATTTTTGTTGATGCCGACCAGGTAATAAGATTGATTTAACTGTTGTCTTGAACAGTGTTCATCTGTATTTTACAGTTCTCTGTGAGTACAGTCAGGATTGACTCAATAACAATGGATTTGTTGGCTTTAAAAGAAAAACACATATACACATAAAAAAGATTTTGAATTGCTAATCACATCTTGACATACTAAATGATATATACTTGAATAATGTTTAAAACCTCCCCCAAATATACTTTGTTTAAAATATCTTCCTTAAAAATGATTTAACTAATTTAGTAAGAGCACTGTCAAGTAACCTAAGATACCAACATTTTCTGTTTTTGTGATGCCGAGAGGTAAAAAACAGGAACTGGTAAATTCACATTACAGGGGAAAAAACTGAAGACAGTTCAGTTCTCTGTATTTCTCCTGGAGTATAATGCTAACTTGCTTGTGCTCATATAATTGTACAGTAGTCCTCAGAGAACCTATCATCATGATTTAGGTTGTGAGACATGACCTCAAAGAGCTTCGAGACTTAGACCTGGGCGGAGCGCCTTATGGGTACACTCCATTCTGTGACAGCCGCACCGAAATGGATGGGTATCGTTTCTGGAAAACAGGATACTGGGCGACACATCTTCTAAGAAGGAAGTATCATATTAGGTAAGAAAATTTATACTCTTAACTTTTAGTAAGTAAATAATGTCTTGAATCACAGGATTCTGTTTACTTCGAAATAACAGCAAACAATTATGTAGTACTTACGACGCGCCCATTACTATTCTAGGTCTTTACATACATAAGCTCATAAAATCTTTACAACGTCCTTTTCATGTACTGTGGTCATTCCTGTTTTATAGATGGGAAAGCTGAGGTACAGAGAACTTCTATAACTTGCCCTTCCTTACGCAGCTTGTCCATAACTGAGCCAGTTGTTAATCCCAGATGTGTGTTTGTTGTTGTGTGCCATCGAGTAGATTCCAACTCACATAGACCCTGCATAGGGTTTCCAAGGAGCGGGTGGTGAGTTTGAACCACTAACCTTGCAGATCAAACCAACCTTGAGGTTGAGTGCTTATCCTAGAGCGCCACACCAGGACTTAGGTTGTTGTTGTTGTTGTTGTTAAGTGTTGTCGAGTTGATTCTGACCCATAGCGACCCTGTATAGGGTTTCCTAGGGCAACCTGGTGAGCTTGAACCGCAAACCTTGCAGTTCAAATGGCTTTGCAGTCTGGTGCATTAACCCACAGTGTCACACCAGGACTCCAGGACTTTAGGTAGTATGGCTCAAATATATGCTCCAGGCTACTACAGTGGCACTGCAGGATCATGTGCTGGACTGCAGGGTTAGTAGTTCAAACCCACCGGCCGCTTCTTGGAAACCCTGTATAGGGTTGCTCTGAGTTGGAACCAACTCAAAGGCACTTAACAACAACAACTGCTCTCAAAGATTTAAACCTGATTTCTCCCATAACAAAATGAAAACACTCTCCAAAGCAGTTACTGTTTTCAAGGGTCATGGGTTTCCTGAGATCTTAGAAAAGCCTGAGCTAAGCCTCAAAGAATGTAAGTCCTAAGAATAGTCTAACAAACTTCAAGTCCTTGGAAGTAATATTAGGCATTAGGAGCAAATGTGAAGAAAGTTAAATCTTACGAGACCCAAGGATATTGATAGTTAAGCTAATGCCATCTCTGGAGCAGTCCATGTGGAGTGGAGGAAGCTGAAAAGACAAACAGTATGGACTTTGAGAACTCTTCATTTTTGCAGTGCCTTGTACGTAGTGGATCTTAAGAAGTTCAGGAAAATCGCAGCAGGTGACAGGCTCAGGGGTCAGTACCAAGCTCTCAGTCAAGATCCAAACAGCCTTTCAAATCTGGATCAGGTAAGTCAGGTACTCCAAGAGTGATTGTCAGTGCCTAGTCACTGCTTCAAATACCTGCCTGGAAATTTTTATGTCTTGTGTTATCAACCTTTTTTTCTCAGTCTCTTATCCTTTATGCAATTCTCTTTTATAAATCTCTGCTTAAATATAAGAGTTCAAAACTAATGATTTTTCTTTCTTTTTCCTCAAGCCCGTCCCCCTCCCCAAACACTACATGCAGTAACTGTATGTAGTTAGTCCATCGTTGTCCTCATCTCATCTGTCAGCATTTAAACCTGCGCAGGGCTCTCTCCCTTTAACTTGTAAGATGAATTCCCTTCGTTGTATGCTCCATTGGGCTACCACCATATATTTTCTTTTTCCTAACACCCAAACATCTTTTGACCTTTCCATACATTTCCTCATGATTTTACCCGAGATGCTTTAGACAGGGACCTGTTGAAGCAGCAGCGGAAGACTCGGTCGCCCTTTTACTCCACCATTCCTGCTTTGTAGTTCCTGTTAGCGCATTGCCACTGAGTCCCTTCTGACTCTTAGCAGCCCTGTAGGAAACAGTAGAACTGCCCCATAGGGTCCTGAGCTCTATCCAGTCTTCAAGAAAGCAGACTGTGGAGTGGCTGCTGGGTTCAAACACCAGACCCACTCCTACCTTGTGACCTTTATATTAAATGTTTCTTCTGCCTTGAATTCTCAAAGATACCTACAAGGTCAGCTCCTGTACCTTCATCTAAACACAGAGACCTATGCCGCCTTATTTACAACAGTACATTCCAGCCCCAGCTAACCAATCTGAGTCCTTGTCCCACTTTGTCCAGTCGGTTTTCTCCACAGCACTCATTATCTTTAAATATTATTGAATTTTTTATTTTGTTATTTTCCCCAGTAGAATGAAAGCACCTTGGTGAGCTCAGAATCTTTGTTTTGTTTTTTGATGTCTCAGAGCTTAGGAGGCTGCCTGGCACGTCAGAGGTGTGTTGAGTAGATATTTGCAGAGTGAATGAACGGATTTGAGACTCTGGTGTGTTCTAAACAATAGCAAGGAGGCCAGCATGGCCAGAACAGAGGACGGAAGGCAGAACACAATCGTAGGACAGGAGAGTTGGGAGATAACAGAAGGTCCAGTTAAGGGATAAAATGTAAGCTCATTTAAAAAAAATCTAGCATTTGGAAAATTACAGGTCAGAGTACCACTGACTTAGTCAAGATTTATTCAGTGTTGAAGCAGTGGTTTCAGGGAGAGGAAATCATTCTTGGAAAACTGGGAGAACTCTTAACTATGTATGTGTGTACATGTTAAATAGGATCTTTTCCAAATTACCAGTTAATTGAAAACTGATTTAGAGTCCTGATGTGGCACTGTAGGATAAGTATCAGCTGGGCTGATAACCACAAGGTCAGCAGTTCAAACCCACCATCCGCTCCTCTGAAACCCTGTACAGGGTTGCAGTGAGCCATAAATGACTCGACAGCACTTAACAACAGAAACAAAACCTGCTGGGGTATAAAGATATACCCCAATTACATGCCAGATTTAGAATGACTGGTGCCATTTTGTAGAATTCTTTGTAAACTTATCAATAGAGTGGAACCCTTAGTCTTAAATATAATGAAAGTAATGTTGCCTATCGTCTATCTGCCTATGGAAAACTAAAGCAAAGATTTTTTGTGAGCCATCCAGAGTCTATCTGGAGGGTCCCCACAGCACTCCATCACCATATATGGTGGGTGATTGCTGTTACTCTGAGGGGGAGTACCTTCCAGACCCACTAGTCTACTCAGAGACCTCTCACTAATGTCAAGTGGTGTCTTTTTCTGAAGCACTTCCCATTTCTTTACAGTAAAAGGGTAAAAAAATAATTTTTTTACCTCTCTTTTCTTGAAACTAATCTCTTGACTTCCATAATACCAAACCTTCCTGGTTCTGCTCTGCTGTCTGTAGCTTTGGTATAGATACTTTATTTGTGAACTATTCTTCCTCTGCCTTTTTCTCAAATGTTACTACTCTCTAAGTTTCTGCCTTGGCCCATGTCTCATTCTGTACTCACTCTGTTGATAACTGTACCTACTTCTTAAATGTTTCCTAATCTCTGTCTCTACTTCCCGAATGTCAGACCTACATATTAAATCTATATATCAAAAGAGCCACTGAAATGCCTAAAATTTATCTCAAATTGGAAAGTAGAAAACTCATGTTCCCCCTATGCTTTTTCATACATCAGCAAATGCCACTTAGCTGCCTGTTACAGGTTGGGTTACCCAGTAAACAGAGTCTACAGTGAGACTTAGCTTGCAGGTTAACCAGTAAACAGAGTCTACAATGGAACTTAGCTTACAGGAAGTTTATTCAGAGGTGCTCTCAGGACCAACAAGTCTGTGGGGCAGAAAGGAAGCAGAAGTGGGTAGAGAGAAAGGTTGAGCTCCAATGTGGTATCAGCAAAGGCCTCACACAGAAGTGACTCCACAGGGAATCCTGAAGCCAGATGACTCGTCAGAGTTGTCACGAGTTTGGGTGAGGAGTCGAAGTCTTTATTCTTTCACATCAACCCATTCTTTATGGGTTGCCCCCAGGAAGAAGGTGACCTTAGCTGGGAAAGCTGTCTTCTCAGGGCAAGTCCTAGAGATGGCTGACAGCTGAGAAGTCAGTCAGCTGTGCTCCCAGCAGCTAGGAGAATCATTTTAAGTGTTAGCTTTGGTGGAGTTTTCAGATCCAGATGGTGATATGAATGGTACTCACAGCATCCACTAACCCACTCTTGGACAGCATGGATCTGCTTTTTGTCCTTTGTTCTGGGGAAACTTTATGTGGAAAGTGAGTGGGGCAAAGTAAAGCTCATACCACTAAAGCTGGTCTCAGGACCACACTTTTACCTCTCACCTCCCTCTGCTATCTTTTCTAGAGTTCCCTAACCTAGTGACGTGACCTAGAACTTCATTGCTCAGGGTTCTGAGGTCCCTGGTCTCAGTGTCTTGGAAGCTACTGCATTTTTTTTCTTTCCTCTAGAAATTAAGCAAGTGTTACCAAGAGATGCCCAAATAAATCACGTGGGTGCTAAACACATTCCTCCCTGTCTCTACTATAGAAAGGATCTTTGGATTAGGTGTTGAACTGTTAACTGTAAGGTTGGCCGTTCAAACCTATCAGCCAATCCATAGGAGAAAGATGAGGCTGTCTGCTCCCATCAAGATTTTGTTGTTGTAGTTAAGTGCCATCGAGTTGATTCTGACCCATAGCGACCCTATATAGGGTTTCCAAGAAGCAGCTGGTGAGCTTGAACCACCGACCTTGCAATTGAAATGACTTTGTAGTCTGACGCATTAGCCCCAAGTGCCACACCAGGACATCAAGATTTACAGTCTCAAAAAATGCGACTGTACAGGGTCGCCATGAGTTGAAATGGATGTGATGGCAGCAGGTTTGGTCTTTGGGTGTTTTCCACAGTACAACAATCTCTCTAACTCTTCTCCATGCCAATGGTGATTCCACTAGGTATATGGTCAAAATGACTCCCCAAGAATTTTGGGTTTCTTATGTTAAGAGACTCGAAGCAAAAATTGCCATCTTGGCATGGAGAAGAGTTTGAGAGATTGTTGTACAGTGGAGTACACCAAAAGACCAAACCCACTGCCATAAAGTGGATTTTAACTCCTGGCCACCTTGTACATAGTGAATAAAAAGGTGTTTCACCTAAAGCACGTAAAGCAGTACTTGGTTAATTTATAAATGCATAAATTCATAGCACTAAATACCTCTACTAGATAAGACTAAAAGTCTCAAATAAATAACCTCAACTTTTACCTGGAAATTAGAAAAACAAGAGCAAGTGAAAACCACAATAAATGAAGATGGGCATGGAAATCAATGAAATGGGTAAACAGAAAATTAGACATTTTCATATGCTTCCTTATGAAACCAAAAGCCGATTCTTTGAGACGAGCAACAAAACTGATAAATTAGTTGTAAAAAAGATAAAAGATAACAACAACAAATACACGAATGGACTTGTAATGGCACATACATGGAACAGATATTAAAAGTAATGGAGACTGTTATGAACAAATTTATGGCAATAAACTCAAATTGCTTAAAAGACACAAGCTACCAAAACTCACTCAAGAAATTGAAGAAAATATGTTTCTAGACCCAGGTTTTGTCATTAGTGAATTCTATCCAGTATTAAAGAAAAAAATAGTATCAGTTCCATATAAACTCTTAGAAGATCAAAGAAGAGGAACATAAATCAATCCTTGGCATTCTATATATGCTTTGACCCCAAAATGTCCATGTCATTGCCACATGCGAAACACATCCATCCCTTCCTATCATCTCAAAAGCTTTAACTCCACCTCTACGTTCAAAGTCTCATCTTCTAACTCATCTAAATCAAATACAAGGGGCTTCAAAACCTTGGTGGGAAATTCCACTCGTTTTATTATTATTATTATTATTGAGAATTTGGTGACACTTTTCAGAGCAGACCAGTGCTCCATTCAGCAATTAATGCCCATTTTGTTTAATCTCATTGATTGCAGCCCCCGCATTGTAACATCACTTGTCCCACTTCCTCCCTGTTTCCTGTGTCCATTCCTTCTCCTTTCCTAACCCTTCTGAGCTGTCCTTGGATGAATGCAGCCCTGTGGATCTCACATTGTTGATGACTCTAAGGTGTGCGTGCCTCATTAGTGTTAGTGTTCCCCTTATGGACCTGTGTGTGGTTTGGCAGAAAATTGAGCCACAGAGGTGATTTCAGTTCAGCTGAGGGGTGACTAAGGACCACAGTCTCAGGGTTCTGCCAGTCCCTATCTGACCAGTAAGTTTGGTCTTTTTTATGATTTTGAGTTTTGGTCCACATTTTTCTACCACTATCCTTAGGAGCTTCTAATGGGATCCTGATCAGAGTTGTTGGTAACAGGTAGCCAGCACCATCTAGTTCTTCTGGTCTTAGGGTCATGAAACTGATGTTTGTGTGGCCCATTAACCCACTGGAAGTGTTACCATCCATACTTCTAAGAAGCATTCTGGCTGTACTTCTACCAAAAAACAATTTGTTCTTCTGGCAGTGCTTGGTACTTTCATTATTCTTTTCCAACAGCATAACTCAAATGCATCTTCTAGGGTCTTCCTTACTGTTTTCCAACTTTCACGTGCATATGAAGTTATAGTCAATTGATTTTTTTTACAAGGGTGTCAACACAGTTCTATGGGAAAAGACTAGTATTTCAGTAGACTATGGGTCTTTTGGTTATGGGAAGAGGGGAATACAAGAGAAGAATATGTGAACTGATCAGCTAGGATATGAGAGAGAACAGACTAGAGACAGCTTATTTCATTGTCTGACAACATCAAGGTTCCACTTACAGATTCACATTCATGAAATTAGCACATAGGCAGTTAGCATGTTATGTGTGATGTGTGTTTCCCCAGCCATGATCAGTTGGCTGGGTAAGGGACAGAGGTTTGCCTTTAACCAGGATTGTGATTATGTCAAGAAAGTACAGCTAAGATAAGACAGCTGAGGTTGTACAGTTGCAGTTGCACACACACCATCTCCTTTTCCTGCTGCCGAGTCTGTATGTACTTAGATTGGCAAATAGAGGACTTTGGCAAGGGTTTCCCAAGACTACCCTAGATTGATGATTCACTAGGCCTCACAGGTCCCCCTCATGGCTGTGAGTTAGTGCAGAAAAACAATATAAGAAGGAAACCAGGTGTGAGCTTCCAAGAGTCCTTCTCCAGCAGAATCAATCCAATGTGCTTAAACAAGAAACTCCACAGCATCCGTGAAGCGTTGCTGGTTGTGAAGTTCATTAGAAACCCAGTGCCCAGAATTTTCACTGAAGACTGGTCACATCGACACCCTTTGCTAGTTAGGTACCGAAACGAGGCTGTGTAAGGAAGAGAGTGGGAAAATCAACAATTGTGAACACAGGGCCTGGCAGTGTTCCGTTCTGTTGTAAGGGCACCATGAATAGGTAGTTACATAGTTGTTGTTAGGTTGCTAAGAACACCTAACAACAATAGACTCCTGGTAGGATGCTGTAGGATCAGCACTGAAGTGTGAACCACAAGGTCAGCAATTCAAAGCCACCAGCTGTTCCCCGGAAACCCTACAGAGGGTCGCTGTAAATTAGAACCAACTCAACAGCACTTAACAACAACAATGGAGACTTAGGCTGCTAAGAGAGGATACAGCATGGCCCAAACAGTTTGTGAAAGGCTGCGGCTAAGCACACATTGACTCCGCAGAGGAAAGACTTGCTGAACTGTGTCTGTGAAGATGACAGCCAAGAAAACCCTGGGGAACAGTTCCACTCACCATACGTGGGGTCACCATAAAGCAGCATCTGATTGAGAGCAGCTAACAACAAAAGATGAGCGCAAACCGACTCTGAGTCCCAGAGAAGCACGTTTATAAGGGTTTGGGCTCCAAGCAGTGGTGAGGGATTAGGAAAGGAGGTAAACTAGGAAACTAAGGTAAGTGGAGGATTTGAGTAGAGAGTGTGAAGTCTGAGACTGGAAAGGTCTGAAATGTTGTCTCAATTCACAATATATTTTATAGTTTCATGGATTCGAGCAGAAACACTAGACGTCTGGATCAGAGAAAGACTTTCCTCACAGAACTTCTTGTGTTGGTGAGGTCACAGAATGTGCCACATCCCCATTGAGGTGACACATGAGGGCAGATGTCACTTATGCTTCCAGAGTGGATTTGCGCCATAGAAAAGGAATCCTCAAATTACGAATGTCCGGGTTTACACAGAAAGGCTAACACAGGCACCCAAGGTAATACAGAGAGCCTGAAAGACCTCCACTCTGGGATGTAAACAAACGCTCTGGAGAAGAAGACTGAATCACTTTGGAGGTCTCTATTTTTAACTTTATTGGGTATGTTTGCTATTCAAACATCTTTTAACCCAATTCTAGACAACACTGTTTTTGTATAGACAACACTGACTATACAGAATGTGAAACTGTTGATGAAGCACTGTGTTCTGACAGGGAGATGAAAGGCAGCCTTGGATAGAATGGAGTCTGGTGGTGAGCTACGAAAGCAGTAATAATATGGGTGTAGAGTGAGGGCTGACGCCCAGGGACTCAGGCAAACCTCCAGCCCACTGGGAGCACAGTGACTTCTACACCCTCTTCATCCTCCGTGGTAGGAGAGGTGTGCACTTGGTCCCAGTGCTTAGGGTCAGTCTTAACACACGATGATTGTGTCAAATGAAGTATTTAAAACTTAATAAATCTCAACTTCCGATTTGCACATTTTTAATGATCTGCTCATCTAAATGGCATTGTACTTCAGCTTTTGCTCAGACTGTTTTTAAACCTGTAAGTTTAAATCATTTTCTTTTGTAGGATCTGCCCAATAATATGATTTACCAAGTAGCCATTAAGTCTCTTCCCCAAGACTGGCTGTGGTGTGAAACGTGGTGTGACGACGAATCTAAACAAAGAGCCAAAACGATTGATCTGGTGAGTGTCTGTGTTCTCATTTGTACATAAGCAGATACTGAAGTGCTCCAATGGGAATGCTTTCTGGTTTACAGATACAGTTGACAATATACGGTCTCATTTTCCTTCTGCCCAGTCTGTTATATATGTACTTGTTGTTGTTAAGAGCTGTTGAGTCGTTTCCAACCTATAGCGACCCTGTATAGGGTTTCCAAAGAGCAGCTGGTGAGCTTGAACCACCGACCTTGTGGTTCAAACAACTTTGCGGTCCAGCATATTAACCCACAGCACTACACCAGGACTCCATATATGTGCTTAGATTGGCAGATATTAGTCTGTGCCAAGGATTCCCCAACACTGTCCTAAACTGATGATTCACTAGGATGCACAGGGCTCTAAATACAGCAAAATAACCCATAGGAAAGCCAGCAAAGGGAAAAGGTGCATGATACAGAACCAAGAGGAAACCAGGTGCGAGCTTCTGAGAGTCCTCTCCTGGTGGAATCAAGCAAATGTGCTCAAGCAACATGGAGTTCCACAGCATCCATGAAGCAATTAGTAGTGAAGCTCATTAGAGACCAGTGCCCAAAATTGTTACTCGGGGCTGGTCACACACGCACCTCTGCTTGGCAGGTACCAAAATTCCCAGTTCCCCAGAAGGAAAGCAGATGTTCAGCATAAACTGCATTGTTTACACAGTTTGGGCGCAGTGTGCCTTTCCTGTTAACGATGGTAGAACCATCGCAAAATCGATGTTCCCAGATGCAGCCAAGGATCAACTTTGCAAGCAGGACTTGGTAAGTATAGCAGTCTTGGCTTGCTCTGTTAATTCTTGTCTTCACAGGGTAGTTGAAAGAAAGGATATCAACTAACTGAGTGTCTATGAATTTGCTGGCATCTTAATATATCATCAATTCAGTTTTCCTGGTAATATTTTCCCAAATAAAGGCACCAGGGTAATTCTGGGTCTTTTTAAATCATCCTCTCTGTGTCTTTTTTGGCTTAGAGTTTCATTTTAAACAGTTTGTGCTACACAGGTTAGCTTTCCTAGACGTAAGTTCAAACTAATACATTTATTGCCCAACTGTTCAGAATGTACATTATTTTCAATAGCAACAAAATATTACAGTACCTTGTCTGATCATTTTAATTTTTTTGTGCTAATCTTAACTGTAGAATTGTTGTTTATAAGATCTTCAGTGGAGGGGAAAAAAAAACAAAAACATCAAATCTTACATTCATACAGTTTAAGCAAAATTGTTGTAGTTGTTGATAAATGCCATCAAATCAGTTCTGACGCATAGTGACCCTGTATAGAGTTTCCAAAGAGCAGCTGGTGAGCTTTAACTGCTGACCTTGCAGTCAAACCAACTTTGCAATCCAGTACATTAACCCACAGTGCCACACCCAGGACTCCTTAAACAAAATGTACTCTTGAGGAAACTGCACATAATTGTTTGAATAAAACAAGGGAACACTGAATGGTTTAAAATTAGGAAAGTGTTGGCCAGTATTGTATTATTTTACCATACTTATTTAATCTGTATGCCCATCAAATAACTAAAGAAGCTGGAGTATATGAAGACCGTGGCATCAGGATTGGAGAAAGACTCATTAACAACCTATAATATACAGATGATACAACTTTGCTTGCTGAATGCAAATAGGACTTTAAAGACTTATTGATGAAGTTCACTGACCACAGCCTTTGGTATTGGTTGCAGCTCAATGTAAAGAAAACAAAAGTCCTCACAACTGGACCAGTAAATAACATCAGGATAAATGGAGAGAAGACTGAAGTTGTCAAAGACTTCATTTTTCTTGGATCAACTATCAGCACTCATGGAAGCAGCAGTCAAGAACTCAAACAATGTATTGCATTATGCAAATCTGCCACACAAGACCTCTTAAAAAGTGTTCAAGAGCCAAGGTGCCAGGACTAAGGTGCGCCTGATCCAAGCCACAACAAGCATATGTATGTGAAAGTCGCACAGTGAATAAGGAAGACCATAGAAATTGATGCATTTGAGTTATGGTGTTGGAGGAGAGTATTAATACCATGGATTGCCAAAAGAACAAACAAATCTGTGTTGGAAGATGTACAGCCAGAATGCTCCTTAGAAGCCAGAGTGGTGAGACTTAGCCTTTCATACTTCAGACATGTTATCAGGAGGGGCCAGTCCCTGGAGAAGGATATCATGCTTGGTAAAGTGGAGGGTCAGCAAAAAAGAAGAAAACCCCCAATGAGATGGATTGGCACAGTAGTAGCAGTAGTGGGTTCAAGCGTGGCAACAATTATGAGGGTTTCAGTCTCTGGTGCATATGGTGGCTATGAGTTGATATCAACTTGATAGCACCTAACAACAACTTCCTCCCATAGCCATTCAGCCTGTGTCTCTGTCCGTGTATGTATACACAACACTGTTGTTCCAAGGTTGTGTATCACTGTTTACCTCTGCCCCCTTTAGCTCTTACATACTTCCCTGTGTCTTCATCATGAATATCATAAAAGTAACAGCAGTACATTGACAGGGAGCTGTCAAAAATTCAAGGCTGATTTAGAAGAGATCGTGAAACGAGGGATATCATTGCTGATGTCAGATGAATCTTGGCTAAAAACAGAAATACTGGAAAGATATTTACTTGTGCTTTATTGACAAAGCAAAGGCATTCAACTATGTGGATCGTAACTGTGGATAACATTGCACAGAATGGGTATTCCAGAACACTTCATTGTACATAGAACAAGGGCAGTCGTTAGAACAAAACGAGAGGACACTGAAGAGTTTAAAATCAGGAAAGATGTTCACCAGGGTGGTATTCTTTCACCATACTCACTCAATCTGTATGCTGAGCAATAATCTATAAAGCTTGATTATGTGAACAAGCATGTGGCATCAGGATTGGAGGAAGATTCACTAATAGTCTGCTATACGCAGATGACACAACCTTGCTTGCTGAAAGAAAAACGGACTTAAATGCTTACTGATGAAGATCAAAGATTACAGCATTCAGTATGGGGTCGCTTCAATATAAAGGAAACAAATCCTCACAACTGGATCTATAAATAACGTTGTATAAACGTAGAAAAGATTGAAATGGTCTAAAACTTCGTTTTGCTTAGACTCATAGTTTTAATGGAAGCAGCCATCAAGAAATCAAAGGAAATATTGCATTAGGAAAATCTACTTCAAAAGATCTCTTCAAAGTATTAAAGAGCAAAGATGTCACGTTGAGGACTAAGGTGTGCCTGACCAAAGCCATGGTATTTTCAATGGCTTCATATGCATGTGGAAGTTGGACTAAGAATGAGGAAGATGAAGAAAAATTGACGCATTTGAATTACGATGTTGGCAAAGAATCTTGAAAATACCATGGACTGCCAGAAGTACAAACCAATCTGTGTTGGAAGAAGTACAGCCAGAATGCTCCTCAGAAGTCAGGATGGTGAGAGCTCATCTCTCGCACTTTGGACTGATTATCAGAAGAACGTCATGCTTGGAAAAATGGAGGGTCAGCAAAGAAGAGGGAGCGCCCCATGAGATGAGTTGACACAGTGTCAGCAACAATGGCCTTAAACCTGGTAACAGTTATGAGGATGGCTCGGGAACTGAGCAGTTCTGTTGTGCAGAGGGCTGCTATGAGTCGGACCTGTGTCCACAGCACATGAAAACAACACTCAGAATTGAAATGTGCTTTGAGGTATAAAATACACACCAGATTTTGAAGATTTAGTACAACTAAAAGATATAAAACATCTCAATGAACTTTTATATTTGATTACATATTAAATTATATGAGTAAAATTATATATTATGATACATAATAATGTTAGCTAGCATTTCAGATCTATGAGGTTACGTCAAATGTACTATTACATTTTATTTTCCGTGTTCCTTTTTACATTTGATATGTGGTGACTAGAAAATTTTAAGGTACTTAGGTTGCTTACATCATCGTTCATTTGGGTACCAGTTATCTGAAAGTAATATGGAGAAGGCATCCTGACTCCTAGAAGCATTCGGCCCCTTGTTGTTGTTGTTATGTGTTATGGAGTAGGTAACAACTCATAGTGACCCTGTATAGGGTTTCTAAGGAGCATCTGGTGGGTTTGAACTGACAACTGTGTGGTTAGCAGTCCAGTGTTTCTCCTGTAGCACAACCCTACGCCCTTAGTGGGAAACAAACAAAACCCCACTTGTAAAAGGAGCTGAGAAATGTCACCCCTGGTTGGACAACTACTTCCTAGTACTTGCTCTATGGTAAAAGCAAGCTAGCTTCAGTGCTGATGACCATCCTAATCATCTGTCCTTTTATGTTTCCTGAAATACGATGTTTGTCTTTTGTTTTGTTTTTTAACAAAGCTTTATTTAAACTTCTAGTGCAATAACCCCAAAACAAAGGAACCCAAACTAAAAGCTGCTGCCAGAATTATCCCAGAATGGGTGGAGTATGATGCTGAGATACGACAACTGTTAGAACACATCAAAACCAAGAAGAGCAACTCAAGTAAGTCACCAGCCTGCAGTGGCCGGGGGGCCACAGGCTCTATTTATAGAGACTCAAACGGAGTATAAACTCGTTTCTTAGTGAATGTATCAAATGAATAGGTCAGATGACTTTAAGTAAACCTCTGACATGATTTAGAGCTTAGTTTTCTTGTGCCCTAAGCTCCCAAATTTAAGACACGAGTAGAGAATATTCTCCTCCCGGGATGTAGTTTCACTTCAAACCCCTCCATAGATGGGGTGGTTGTTGTTGTTGTTGTTGTTAGGTGCCATCGAGTCAGTATGGACCCATAGCAACCCTGTGCACAGCAGAACAAAACACTGCCCAATCCTGGGCCAACCTCACTATTGTTGCTACGCTGCGTCCATCGATGCTGCCACTTGGCCAATCCATCTCATTGGGGGTCTTCCTCTTTTTCCCTGACCCTCCACCTTACCAAACATGATCTCCTTCTCCAGCGACTGCTCCCTCCTGACAATGTGTCTCAAGTATGAGAGACGAAGTTTGGCCATCTTGGCTTCCAGGGAGCACTCTGGCTGCACTTCTTCCAACGCAGATCTGTTGGTTCTTTTGGCAGCCCATGGCACTTTCAATATTCTCCTCCAACACCATAACTCAAATGCATCCATTCTTCTATGGTCTTCCTTATTCACTGTCCAGCTTTCGCATGCATATGAGGTTATTGAAAATACCATGGCTTGGGTCAGGCGCACCTTAGTCCTTAAGCTGACATCTTTGCTCTTCTACACTTTAAAGTGACAGTTAGGTAACCATTATCCTCAATCACAAGAGGCAGTCCAGAAATTCTTGTTTAAATGTACAGGTTCACCTTTTATTTTGGGTGTTGTGTAAGTACAGGTTCACCTTTTATTTTGGGTGTTGTGTAAGTACAGGTTCACCTTTTATTTTGGGTGTTGTGTAAGTACACAGTGGCATAGCTGGATCTGACTCCTTTTTATGCTTGATGTTCAGCACTCTCCTCATATTTTTAAAGACTCCTGATTCTCTTTGGCCTTGGACATGTTTTTACTTTGAACTTTTTACAATCTCCCCTTTCCCCACTTTTCTCAGTTCTCTCATTCCAGAATCTTAGCCAGTTGGATTTATACCTTTTGAATTAATCCTACACATTTTTTATATTTTCTGTTTATATTCGCCTGGAGTTTTTTTCCCCTTCAATCTATAGTCTAGGAAAATTCTGTCATTTTTTTCTTCAACCTTCCTGTTGATTTTTTTCTAGTGGGAAGAGTCGATCACTTCTAAATCTCTAAGAAATCTTTTTTTTAACCTGTTTGCTCCCTTCTGATTTCCCTTTGTTCTTGTTGTATGGCTTCATTGTTTTTCCAACTATCTCTGGAAGATACTAATTAGAATTATTTTTAGTGTTCTTTGGTTATCTTTGGTTCTTTAGAGTCAGTTGTTTTATATATTAATCTTTTTCTTTTGTAAGTGGTGATTCCCCAGATGACTGGAGATGCTTGGCTCTTTGTATACATTGGTAGCTCTAAATACATGGGCGTCCTTGTGTGGCTCTGTAGAATAAACACTGGACTGCTAACTGCAAGGTCAGTGGTTCAAACCCACCAGCCACTCCTCAGAAACTATACAACAACGAATACATAGATGTGGTATCCATTTGGCGGGATTCGCTCCGGGATGTATGGGTAGGCAACAGAACAGAGCCCAGCTACACCTCACCCTTGGCCAAAAGCCAAAATAAGGCCATTTTATTCAAGAGCAGTAACACTTATATAAGAATCTTGCCTCCAATAGACAGATTATTCACTTTCTTTCAGTACTGGTCTTCCACTTTTTATCTTAGAATAAGCAACAGGCTGTTCTTTTTTTTTTTTTTTAATTTTGGGATATAGAAAAACAAAAGCACTGCCAGGAAAAGATTTTCCACAGCCAACTCTTGGGTTGCTTCATTCTGGCTCAGATCCTCTGCCCATCCCTGTTCTTTCTCTGTTGGGAGGTTCTCCTGCTCCTCGAGGGGGAAAATCCTGGTTTTCTGTGAGCTTCTGAGTGGATGAAGCTGTGAGCTTCATATCCCGGCTCAGCTCCCATGATTCCTCCCTACCCCCTCGTCTGAGCTTCTCATTACCATTTCCGTTCACACTTAGCGGCTTCTCACTGGAATTTGGTCAGGAGGGAGACATCCTTAGCCATCATGAATTATGGAACAGAATGCATTTAAATGACATTTTAACTATTTGCTCCCTGAAGATGTTTTTAGTTCTGTGTTGTTGGGCTTTTTTTCTCTTTAAAAATTTCAAATTAAATATATTGTTATGAGAATACACACAGCAAAACCTAAGCCCATTCAGCCGATCCTACGTGCACACTTCAGTATCGTTCTTGGAATTGTGCAGCCTTTCTCCTTTCCGGAGCTGTCCCTCCGTCATTAACCTAAGCTCAGTTTCCACTAAGGTTCCTGTCTAATCTCTCCAGTTGCGTTGTCAGTTTGATCCTATATGGATAATCCTTAAAAGAGAATCAGTCTCAAGACAGACATACTTTCTTAGTTAAGCTAAACTATTGTTTGGTTTCAGAAAGACGTGAGGGGTATTTATAAAGGTTATCTCAGGGCAACTGCTTCAGAGGATCATCTACCTCCATGGCACCAGAAAGGCTAAAATCAGTGAGAACTTGAAGTTCTGTTCTATATTTCCCCCTTTTGATCAGGATTCTTCTATAGGACCTTTGATAGCCATGCTCAGTACTGGAGCTGGACACCATCCAGTTCTTCTGGTCTCATGGTGGAGGAGATAGTTGTTCGTGGAGGCAAGTTGCCACACAGCCCAGATCCTCCTCCTCTTTCTGGCTCACCTTTCTCTGTTGTGCCAGGTGAATAGAGACCAGCTGTGCTTTAGGTAGCTGCTTGTAAGTTTTTAAGACCCCAGGCACCACACAACAAACTAGGGGGCAGAACAGAAGTCCTAAACACATCAGACCAGTTCACTGGAGTGTCCCATGAAACATTACCCTACACCTCCAAGCAAGGAGCCAAGTCCCAGGAGGCCTTCAGTGTGCATAAGTAGCCTCCGCAGTTACTGTGTGTGTGTGCGTGTGTGTGTGTGTCATGGCTGTGAGTGTATCTGTCATACAACTTCTGCCAGGTCACCTGTTTATAGGTGTATAATTTGACAGTAATTAGAATAATCAGCTGTACAAGTCCACCCTTAATGAATACTGTCTTCCATCAGTGTTAACCCCTATTTTCTCCATCCCTCCTGCCCGCCCCGATAACCATTAATAAACTTTGGTCTTTATACACTGAATTCCTATTATTCTTAAATCAGTCTATTAGAGCTCAGTAACACAGGTTAAGAAACCATATTGGCCTCTGTGAGTCACTAGTACTGATTTTACTTGTATACTAATTTGAACGCTCTTATCTTAGAAGGAGCTCTAGTAGTGTAGTGGTTACGAATCGGGCTGTGAACCTCAAGGTCAGCAGTTCAAAACTACCAGCTGTTCTGCGGGAGAAAGATGAGGCTTTCTGCTCCCGTAAAGATTTGCAGCCTTGGGAACGCTGTGCAGGGTCACTGTGAGTCGGAACCGACTGCACGGTACTTAACAACAACAACATCTTAGAATGGAATTAGTGAGGATTGGTGATAGAACACACTGCAGAGTGAATAACCTAGCAGTAGTATTGCTTGATGTCTGTGACTCACAACATTCAAGGTCCCCGTGTGCAAGGCAGGGTGCTGGATCTGAGAGATAACAAAGATGTCTGGCACCGTCTTCAAAGGACATCACTGTGGTCGGTTACGATACGGTGTTAAGTGCTGTACAAGTGCTGTAGAGTCAGTTCCGATTCACACAAACCTATATAGGGTTTCCAAGGAGCAACTGCTGGTGGGTTTGAACCGCCGACCTTCCAATTAGCAGTCCAATGCTGATTCTACAGTGCCACACCAGGACTCCATAGATGCCATAATGTGCAAAGAGCTGGTCTCATTCTGCGTAATGAAACAAGCAAGTGCTAAACTAAAACAAGGATTCTCAGTCAGCATCTGTACTTTATATATCATGTACCACAGTTTACTTTAAGCTAATTTTATAGTTAAATTTTCCCTAAAAACCTTTCCTCCCCCACAGTTTTGATACATGATGAGCTCTAGCTCTAGTTTGCCAAGGAAGGAAGACGAGTCTTCAAGAATGCTGCCACCTGCTGGGGAAATGTGGAACTACTGCTAAGACGATTTGGAAACTTCTAAATTAGTAATACATTCTTCAATACATATGTATTAAAATTTTAATTATTTAAAACAAACGTATGTAATGTATTGAATAAGTTTCAGCTATGTTGAGAAATGACCATTGGGTATCTGAAGATAGACTTTTCCTTTTTCCTGAGAGCTGGAACCACCGATGTTTTGTCCCGTAACCCAGATGGAGGAGCACAGGGGAGGAGCTGGCCCACGTGTTGGGTTCACAAATCATCAACATCCCTGTGAAGTCCATGTGATGTGCATCTGAATCTCCTTTTTTTAAAAAATGCATTTAAAATTGAAAAGCTTCATTTCTGTTTTTCTTGTTAGAAAAAAAGGACTCATGATGATCTCTGATTAATTTACAAAAATTAAGCCCATTTACACTTTATTGTTTAAAAATGGAAGTAACTTTGCACTGTAATCATTTATTTCAGTCACCTAAAGCCATATGATGTTTCAGTTATGATTTATTTTGATTATGCATTTTATTTTTAGAATGCTTCTCATTTCATAAAACTTCATTCACGTGAATATAGGGTGTGTGTGTCTTCTTAATGGCACACACAAGACGCTGAAGAGTCTGATTCCACAGGTGCTGAGACAAGTGTGGGAAAGCATGATCATTTAGAAAGCTCTCCCGGTGATTCTGTTGATACATAGAACTTTAGGGGAACATTTCATAAACTTTAGCACCCCGTCACATGCTGCCTTAGACCATGCTTGCAGCGTGATGGGGAACTCACTAATTTGAATTGGGTGGGTCCATCTTCAAACAACGCTGTGCACACTGTGGATCAAAAAGTGTCTGTCTGCAGTCTACGCTCATTGCTCCTCTGAGCACTTAAGAACAAGTCTAGCCCTCCTCCATCGAATGGCACAGTGCGTACAGGTTATGAAAAGAACAGCTCCTACCGCCTCCTCAGAGAGATCACAGATCTGTTCTCGTCTTGCTCATCCTCCCAGTTACTTGTTCTAGTTTGTCAGTGATCAAATGCCATGCTCCAGGAATGACCTAACAATGCAGCTCTGATGCATATCTCAGTAGACTGATCTCCGCCTTTTCAAGATCGAGAAGTGACCTGAGTGAAGGTTGGAGATAAATTCAAAAGCATCTCTGCAACTCAGTTGTCTCCTGGATGCCTCCTGATGGACAGACTGAGCCTTCGTGGTAAAAAGCAAGACCAACGAAATCTGCATTGTACTACTTTTTCTCAGTTGTTCCCTCAGAAGGATCAGCTCAGCCAATAAAAGGTGCCAAGTTCAGGGCCTATTCATTGGTAGTTTTACACTTTAAAAGGAAAATTAATAATAAAAATCAGTTTTATTTTTAAATCATTAAGTACAGATTTGGACACAGGGAGGTATAGGTAGTGAGGAAGAGATTAGTGCTTGCTAAGTTATAACTCTTAGCAGGGGTGAGAATCCCCCCGTTTACCTGGCAGCCTTCTCACCTACTGTACAGTCCTCATTATCTGCAGACTAAGGCGAGTTGCTTCTAGAATATCACAAAGGTAACATGAGGTAAGATTTGGGAAGCTTTGTGTCTTGTGAATTTAATTGTATCCCAAAATATGTATTACAGACAACCTCTGGATATGATCTGGTTTGGAAATCAGGTTCTTTTGTTGTTCATGGTTATCATACTAGCAGAGTAGAGTGGACCCTAAACCTAATGACTTTATCAATTATAAAAACAACCAGAGAGAGATTCATGGAGGATAAATGGACAAGTCCAGGAACTCCAAGGATTGGCAGCTGCTCCTAGAACTGGAGTCCTGGTGGGCTTCTAACCACAAGGTCAGCAGTTCAAACCCACTAGCTGCTTTTGAGAAATCCTATACAGGCTCACTATTGAGTCAGAAGCCAGTTGGCAGCACTTCACAGCTAGGACTGCAATCAACCAAGAAGAACCTCCTCTAAAGCCCTCACCCAGAATTTGGATGTTTAGCCTTCTGACCTGTGAGTAAATAAAGTTCTGTTGTTTAAAGCCACCCATTTGTGGGTATGGCAGCAGTGGTTGCCTAAGACAGACTTTGGTACAATCAGGGAGTTGCTCAAACAAGTCCCTAAAATGGGTCAGTGGTTAGGGAAGTGGGTAATGTGATGTATTTGGACAGTCACAGGTACATTGCCTTGAAGAGGCTTTGGTAGAACTATGGACATGAAGGGCTCAGGAAGAATGGAGAATTGTACAGAAAACAGCTATTGCTGCGAGCAAAATGTTGCCAGAAATGTTGTCATTCAGTGTGCTGCTTGTTTGAGGCTTGAAAAGGAAATCTGAAACATTGTGTTGGAAACTGGAGTGCTAAATAATTTGTCTAAATTAGGTTAAAATATTCTGTAATAGTGGAGCTTATGAGTGATGGACTTGAATAACTGGATGAGATTTTAAAGCAGAAATCTTGTTAGCTTAGACTGAAAAGGAAGAGAGAGCAGACCAAATGAAAGGAGCAAAGCAAGCAGTCTGTGTCCTGGAATTCTATAGGCAGGAAACAGGCCAGTGGACATATTCCGAGTTGGCCATTTCAGAGTCGGCAGGAATGCAGAGGGCAGGTGCCACTTCCTCAAACAGTGGGTTCACCACCACCTTGGTTCCAGAGGGTGGGCTTATCATTCTTGGATACCAAAAGAATGGGGCTGCTGCCCCAAACTGAGGGACCATGGCTGCCATTGGAGAACAGGCCTGGCCAGGGCCCTGGTAGCGTAGGGGACTCACTACTTGTGTGTACTAGAATTGAGCTATTCAAAGCCATCAGGATCGGAGTAGGGGGTGTCAGTGGTCCTGGATGGCAGAGAAGGGTACCAAAGGGCTTTTTCCCAAAACCTAGAGGAGGCCACTGCCCAGATGTGTCTGCAAAGAGTTATTTTCAAGTCTGGAGCACTGGGTTTGGGGCTTGCTTGGTACCTGTGATCCTCCTTTCCCACAGTTCTCTCATTTGGAGTGGGAATGTCTGACTTTGTCTGGCTCTCCATTGTATTTTGGAACCAGGTAAGTTTTAGTCTAGGTTTCCCAGGTCCACAGATGGCAAGGTATTGTGCCCCATGATGAGCAATAGCCAAGTCTCATCCTTACTTGATTTAGATGATCCAGAAGAAATTTTAGAGTTAATGCTGGAATAGGTTTAGACTTTATAGAACTAATGTGTTTTGTATGTGGGAAAGACATAGCTTTGGGGGGACCAAGGGGTGAATCGTGTCCCCCAAAATATGTTAGTCTGAGACCCTGTAAACTAAACTGTTTTTCCTTATGTGATCATACCAAAGGGTGGGCCCTAAACGTAATCACTTCTGAGTTTAAAAACAGAATTGAGACCCCTGGGAAGACACCATCCATGTTAGACACAGAAGATAAGATGCATGTATACACCCAGGGACTCCTAGGACTGCTCTCTCCTAGAAGCTGCAGACGTACTCCTGAACTGTGAGTAAATGCCTGTTCTCTGAAGCCAGCCATGTTTTGTTTTTTGTTGTCATCAACAGAAAACTAAGATAATGAGTCTTCTGAAAAAAATTCACTTACGAATTCTGTTGTCCTATGCCGTCGAGTCAGTTATGACTCATAGTGAACCCCGCACAGGGTTTGCAAGAGACTGGTGGATTTGAACCGCCAACCTTGTGGTTAGTTGTTGTAAAGTGCTGTCAAGTCAGTTCCAACTCAAAAGTGACCCTGTATAAGGTTTCCTTGAAGTGCAAACTAACCCTGTCGTCCAGTTCTTTTCCTACAGTAGAGCCACACCAGGACTTATGTGGCTTAGTGCTGTTGAGTCAGTGCCAACCCATAGCGACCGTGTATAGGAGTTCCAAGAAGCAGCTGGTGGATTTGAACCACTTACCATTGCAGTTCAGACCGACCTTACGGTCCAGTGCTTAGCCTACAGCACCACACAATGACTCCTAATGGTATCTCAGGACATACAGACCATAAAGTGGAGAAAACAGTAAGCTACTGTTATTGAAGTTAAGAAATTTGATTCAGATAGTCAACAAGTTGCCCCTCCCAATTTATTCTACAACAGAAAGGTGCCAATTATACAAAGCCAACACAAGGATTGGATTTTAATAGTATTCAAATTGCCTGCCTCAGAAGCCCTATTGGAAGTTAAGAGTGTAGCCAAATCCACCTTTCGTGCATACACCAGGGGAACCTTTTGTCGCCTCATTCACTCAGTGTGTGTAAAGCAAAGTTGGAAGATGGATTTTCTTAGAACTTATACTCGAGACTAAAAATGAATCAAAAGCACAAGAGGACTGGTATGACCATAAATATTTTTATTAAATGTGAAAATACACGGGCATAAAAATAGTACCCATATTTGTCGGCATGTCTAAGACCCATTAACTCGAGGGTTCTTTTTTTATTACAACACTCATTGAGAATGGGTTAAGTTACTTATTCTTATCTCATTTAAAACTCTAGCTTTACCACAGGATTAACATTAAAATGTGTCAACTATTTCCAATTTTACCTCTTCTGATCTCTGTTCCCCACTGCAGGTAAGAGGTTCAACCACAGATACGGCAACAAACCTGTTCCTAAACACAAAGCCACGCAGTGGCTAATTTTACTCTCAAATCATTCAGCAAATGAGATCATCTGTTAAAATTACCCCGATCTACGAACATCATTTAAAATTACAGAATAAACTCTGGCATTAACAAAAAAGGAATGATCCGATTGAGAAGAAAGATACTAATTGTTGACAAATTTTCATTCGCCATCCTCCTTCCTTATAAATGTGGAAAAGTAAATGACATTCAACAAAGCTGCATAAATTATCTCAGTTACCCCATTGGCATGTGTTCAGTGAGATCTTTGGGTAAGATCCCTACACAGAGGCCTGTACTGCTCAGATGCAAACCTGGCCCATGAGCCACTTGCCTGGTCCATGTCAAATATAACCTTTGATTAATTTCATGCCTGTAAAGACATTTTTCTTTTCTGACCATGTAATATATTGTCAATTTCATACTGCGATTCTATTAACTACTGGGTAATTGGTAATATTTTTCTCTTGTTTAAAAAATGGGTAGTTTTTAGGTTTCATTATCAGAGATCAGAAATTCGTTTTCATACTGAAAAATTTTAATACTGACTAAAGAGAAAAATGTTAAAATTACTAATATATTACATCCAATCATATTAGTAAACTATTGAAATTGTTCTTTTATTTGTGGTAAGAAGTATATAGTACTTTTATGGTTTTCTTTTTCATGGCAAGAAAAAAATTTTCCTGGGGGATGAATTAATTCAGTCTCCTTTCTTAGGACTTTTCTCACACGTACAGGCTGGTGTGTTTCAGACTTCCTGCCTTGGGCACTAGCCACAAGGTACAAACCAACCAGTGACCCTTCACACATGGAGCTTACTAAAGGAACAGAGGAGCTCTAGAACAGAACTCGAAGGTAAGGCTAGGGTACCTCTCTGTGACTTAGACTTTTCATAAGAGTCACACAGGTGACTTGGCACCTGTAGGTTGTCATTTTCTTCATTAATCAGCAGAAAATGGATTCCGGAGAATTCATTTCCCTCAGTGGAAGGGCACTTGGCACTGTGGCTTCTCTTCTCATCACTGGAAACAGCCATGTCACTTTCTGCACATTTCCGGTAATATGACTGAGTTAATCATCATCCATGGCATTTCTTTTAAGGAACAAGAATCGTGGTTGCTACAATAGGAGAAAGAAAATAACCACCCAACTCAGGGCAGCATGTAGGCAGGGAGCTCAGTCACAGCTGCCTAAGGCACACGTCCCTCTCCAGTGCAGACTAGCCCTCAGCCATCCCAAACCATCTTCTGCTTCTGGAAGCTTTACATCCTTTCCCTCCAAGCGGGGGACAAGTGCAGGGATGCATTTCGTTATTCTAACTGAAAATTCATCTCGGGGAGGGGGAGAACACAGCTACATTATGTGCCAAAGAACCAGGTATTGTAAAACTAAAGAATACACAAAAATGAGTTTACCTTGGAAATTATTTCCACATTAGCTTGAATTTTGGGACATTAATACAAACAATGGCTATATGTTGTTTACTAGTTTTCTAAATGCAATGCTAAGTGTTTGACTGAACCAGTTGATTTTCACGCAGTTAAATTAATAAACGCCACATGTTTCTGTCTGACTAGAAAAGACTGCTTCACTGTTGTGAACCTCGGTGCTTCGGAAGGCTGCCCCAAGGGATTCAAGTGCTTGATTTCATGGGAGAAAAGGAAAGATCTGACACCTTTTTGCTGTTTCAAATGCTTCAAAAATGTTCTGAATGTAAAACAAAAGTCTTTCCAGAGCAGTGGTGATGATTCCTCTCTAACGTAACGCTCTTACACTTTAAACACAGCATCACTAATGTCAGAGGTTCAGTGTTTTTGATTAAAGTATCGCTCACTTTTTAGGGCAAAAATTATCCAGTACACTGATACAATAGTTAATTTCTTGAAAGGTAAGCAGAATTCCAAGAGAAGATGCCATCCTCTTCAGTTATACTGGAAGTACAGCCAAAGTTGCCTCAGCTTATAAGCCTGTCTCTTTTCTAGGCAGAGGAGAACACAGGGGACCAAGATCTGCTACAGAAGCTTGTGTGCCAAGTATTACATCCACCAGCAGACCAGTCCCCGTCAGTGTCTACTGTCCCTAGAACCCGGATCTGGAGGTAGGAGACACAGTCTTCCCTAAGTGGGAAGGAAACAAGGCATTTTCTGTTGATTCACGTGGACTGAGTGCAATCCTGTAGGAAATTCTGCACGTCAGCAGTATTATTTCAAATAATAGCATTGCTACTTTATCAGAAACTATTTGACATATTACTTTATCCTTTAGTCATTTTTTGTGTTTAATACGAAAGAGCTCCATAGGGTTTATAACTCATTTGTTATTAGTTGTAAGTGGTTCTCAGTATTCTCCTAGTTATTCACAAAAAAACCCCAAACTGTATTAACCAGACTCTTCCCCTTTTTCAAGACCTCCATGTTAATCCTAGTAAACAAACATGTGCAGATTAAAAGAGGATCAGTAATTTAACAGAAATGATTGTTTTGGGCTGATATAAACAAAGTTGTCCCAAAGAACATACAGTTCAAGATGCTCCCTGTAAGAATACTGAGACACAACCCATTCTCATGAAGACCAGAGTTCGGTTTCCACATGGAGACACTGTGAAGGCTGTGACGAGAAGAACCATCTCTACATGCGTCAATGTAGAGAAACATCAAATAACACGAGTTCTTCCACACATTCGTCCAATGTATACAGGCTGCTTTATCAGAAACGGACCATTCCTTGCCTCGCTACCCACACAAACCCAGCAACCAGAAGTCTAAAATGAGTAAGAACAGATTTGTAACTCTTTGGTTATGGACAAAAGAAAGATTTGAATTTTTTTTCCAATTAGGATCCTGAACACAGTTTGTTTTTAATTTTTAAAAAAATAATGAAGAGCAGAAAACAGTTGGTTTAATTGAAGTGGAATTTAAATCTGAAGGGTCCGCCTGAGCTGAAGGGGTTAAACCCTTGCCAGGAGTTCCAGCTCCTGTGGAAAGGATTGCCACCGCCTCCTTGCTGGCTCTCTGCATCCAAGGGATCTTCTCCATCGTCAAACTTTTTCCTCATTTCTAAAAAACAAATCAAATTAAGGCCCATGTATTGGTTACAGTGTATGTAGGTGGTTTGATTTGGGGGGGGTTTTGACAGCCAAGGGAGAGTTAGAATTGAGGAAGAACTTGGTTTTTCAGCTTACAAAATACTTGTTCCTGGTATTTGAACTGAGCCTTCCCCAGTAGAAACGAAGAGAGAGAGAGAGAGACACTAGTCACAAAAAGACAGAGGGGTTCTGGGTTGAAAAGGAGTATTGCTCAATATTTAGGCTCCTAAATCTTCTCACCTCACAAAATGCTATCCAAGCTTGGAAGCTACCCACAGAAAATTTTCTGTGGAGAAATGATTCTAGAGAAAGACCTCCTGTACTCATCATGTTCTTCCAAAGGCACACAGCCGCACCCTTCAAAATCAAGTCTGCTCATTCAGTGCATCAACCCAGTGAGCTTGCGCAATCAGCTCTCCAGGGCCGCCCCCTGAAATCTGGTCAGAACTAAGGAGGCCAAGCGGCCCCTCCTGCACACTAGGATCGCCACCTGTTACGGAGCTGTGTCTGGTAGCCCTCCCTAATGAGGCAGCTCCTGATGCAGACACATAGGGATGAATAAAAAAGGAGCTATGAAAAAGAAATAATAATAATAAAGAAGTAATTAAGACGACAGCTGAAAAAAACAGAAGATAAAGTCAAGGAAATCTCCCAGAAACATAGAACCAAAGACTGAGCCTCAAAAAACGTAATCAATAGAGATAAGAACATGGAGAGATAGAACAGCAGAAGACTCTAGACTGAAAAGAGAAAGGCTGGGTGCTGGTGGCCAGGAGACAGGCTTGCAGAATGTGTTCTTTGGTTGTCAAAATGGTTACATATTCCTGAGTGTTTTTGTGTACAAACCCCACCCCCCCACAAAAAAAAAGGAGGGAAGAGAAGCAAATACTCTTGAATGATGATGCATGGAGGGGATTGAAATCATTGCAATGAAATGATGAGTATAATACCAATGTTGTTATCGCATGTAAACGATCACACAATAAAAACTTTAAAAAAAAATCAATCCCGAGGTCCACTTCTAAGCAATAAAGGTTTCAAGAAAGAGATAATTGGGAGAAAAAAAAAAGGCAAGTATATAAGAACTAGAGCATACCATCAAGGAATCTCAAAATACAGGGGATAAAATGAGATAGAAACCCTGTATAGGGTCGCTATGGGTGGGTCGCTATGGGTAGGATCTGACTCGACAGTACTTAACACAACAACAACAAAGTTATAGTTACACGTATGAAAAAGAATGGCACAGGACTTCAACAGCAACCTGGGAGGGAAAAATAAATCATCAAAAGACAAAAGGAAATTTTCAGTTATGTGCAACTAAAATTATTTTGCTTTCCACACAACCTCCTTGTGCTAGTTAATCTGTGTCACCATCTCTAGGCCAGGATTCTCAGAGGTTTGGCTGTTAGGAAACAGTCATCCATATAAGGGGATCTGCTATGAGCAGCCAATCAATTGAAAGGAAGTTTCCTAGGGGATGTGGCCTGCTTCCAATAGATTGGAACTTGGGCAGAGCTTGCTTTCTGCTGGGTCTGGATTTTCTTTCAACATCTAGTTCTTTGAACTAGAGCCAGAATCCTGGCTCTATTTCCTGCTGATCCTGGGAGTCGTTAGCAGCTATCCTCTTTACTCGCCTGTTTGCTGTCTGACCTGCACCTCTTGTTCATCAGCCCTCCAGCCTGGCATTTAATCCACAGATTTGGGACCTGCCCATCTCTAACAAATGCATGCGCCATTTCCTTGAGATAAACCTTTCTCTGTAGATCCAGGTGGACTCCTGGTGTGGTGCTGCACAGTAACGCACTGGAGCACACGATTGGAGGTTCTAACTCATGAGCTATTCCTCAGAAACCCTATCCAGGGTCTCTAGGAGTTGGAACTAACTCGAGGGCACTTAACAACAATATACATGGAGTCCTGGTGTAGCGCTGTCAAGGTTCCTTGGAAAACCTATACAGCTCGCTATAAGTTGGAACCGATTTGATGGCACACAACAACTGGTGGGTATGAACTGCCGACCTTGTAGTTCTCAGTGCAGTGCTGATTCTACAGCAACACACAGAAGTACATATGTGTTTGTGTGTGTGTGTGTATATATATATATATATATAAAGTATAATTGATTATTGCTCTAGACAAATCTGCTGCACAAGTGTTCAAGAATAAAGATCACCTAGAGGACTAAGGTGCCTCTGACCCAAGCCGTGGTATTTTTCAGTTGCCTCATAGGCATGTTAAAGTTGGACCATAGAAAAAATTGATGCATTCGAGTGATGGTGTTGGAGAAAAACATTGAAAGAACCAACAAATCTGTGTTGGAAGAATAGCCAGAATGCTCCCAAGATTGCAAGACTACTTCTCTCATACTCAGAACATAGTATCAGGAGTGACCAGTCCCTGGAGAAGGACCTCATGCTTGGTAAAGTGGAGAATCAGCGAAAACCAGGAAGATCCAGAACAAGATGGACTGAAACACAACCAATCTGAGAGTGGTGCAGAAGCAGGGTCACTAGGAGTCAGAACTGACTCCACAGCATCTAACAGACACACAACATAGGTAACTTGTACTGGTTTTGCTTCTCTAGAGAACCCAGCCAAGTTGGGGGCTTTATCAGGCAAGCAGATGACACAAGATCCAGACAGTAAGTTTCCTTAATTCAAACAATCATTTCATTGACTGTAGAAGCTCAAGTTTCTGCAAGTAACACACATCAAAAAGGTGGCACACCAAAATAAACTACAGTATCCAGCAGTCTTGAAAAGGCTCTGGCCACCTGCAGTGTACGTCTTGGTGGGGCAGAATATATTGCAGTAACTGGGGAAAGAAAACACCCTGCTGTTTTTTTTAAAGAAAGAGAGATGGGCAATACTATGGGTTTGTTTTGGGGTTTTGTATTTTTAAAAAAAGGTCTTAAAACTGGGAGGAAGAAATGGGGGATCTAACCAATTTAAATGTACATCATTAACCAAACAAGTGTGGAGAAGTGTGGCAGCAGAATAGGAATGTGAGCATTGTAAACCCTGACAAAGTAAAATCAATTATGTTAAGTGTCACTGAGTCTGTTCCAACTCATAGTGAGCTGTATAGGATTTCTCAAGAGCAACTGGTAGGTTTGAACCACGAAACTTGCAGTTAGTTATCCACTGCTTATCCCGTAGTATCACACCAGGTAAAATAGCTAACAAAACTAAGAAAAAGCAGTGGGAGAAGATACAGGCCCAGTTTTCTCATCTTTTATAACAAAGTCAATAACCCAGTATAAAATTAATATTTTTCAAGTAAGATTGTCCTAAATTTTAGAGAAATCTAAGAAATTATCTGAAATTTTATTAACTCTAGCGCTTAACTAAAGGAGCTCTGGTAGCGTAGTGGTTACAATCGGGCTGCCAACCTCAAGGTCAGCAGTTCGAAACTACCAGCTATTTCGTGGGAGAAAGATGAGGCTTTCTACTCCCATAAAGATTTACAGTCTCGGAAACCCTGTGCAGGGTCATTTTGAGTTGGAACCAACTCCATAGTACTTAATAACAAATGCTTAACTATAAAGACAGCACACATACAAGGGAACTTCAAAAAGTTTGTGGAGTAATGGAATTTTCCCATAAACTTTTTGAAGTCCCCTCACTAAGACTGCAAGGTCGGCGGTTCAAACTCACCAGCCGCTCCTCAGAAACTCTATACAGGGTTTAATGAGTTGGTACCTGACAACAACAACATGCTTATTTCTCCTGTTCCTGTCACATACACATAGAGTAAATTTTGGTAATTCATCTGATGTTAAAATTGGCTGCTTCCAGGAAGATGTCAGTTGACTTTGGTTTCATTGCAACTTTAAAATGTTATAGAAATACTAGGAGGAACAAAAAAGGTGCAGAAGAAAGTTAACACAAAATCATAACCATATAAAGGACTCATTAAAAATAAAATTCCTAGTGAATACAAGCTCTCACAGCCTAAAGAACATCGTGGGGCATTCCATTTTCACTAGAGAAGATTGTGGCACTTCATTAGCCTTTCTTGGTAGGATCCAAAAGACGTAAAAGATGCATTCATGTTTTTTTAGATTTAGTGTCCAATTTATGGCCAAACTTCGTCTCTCATACATCGGACATATTTCCAGGAGGGACCAGTCACTGGAGAAGAATACCATGTTTGGTAAAGTGGAAGGTCAGAGAAAACGAGGAAGACCCCCAACAAGATGGATTGGCACAGTGGCAGTTGCAACGGGCTCAGGCATAGCAACGATTGTGAGGTTGGCCCAAGACTGGGCAATGTTTCGTTCTGTTGCTATGAGTCGGTACTTGACGGCACACAACAACAACGACAACTTGTTAAAACAGAAATAAGATAGAATCAAACTCAGGCCTTAAGAGTCTACATTTTAGGGTCTTTGCATTGTGCAGAGCGTGGAGGGAAGAAAGGACAGACAAATTTCAGTACCAGCTCCCGCACTGGACCCTCACTGCCCATGTAGAACTGCACAACCAGGCTTTCCACTCCCCACTTAGACTGAAACAGGGTCAAAGGAATAAGATCCAACAGAGCAGCAACTCAGCTAGTTGAAGAGGACGGGGATATGCTGGGTGTCCTACCTGGATCAGAGAGGACTTCTTTTGCAGCTGCTATGTCAATGAACTTTTTCTCAGCTTTTTTCTTTTCTTCTTCATTCTGGAAGTTATCTGGGTGCCACTGCATCGCTAATTTTCGGTATGCTTTGATGATTTCTTGCTTTTTGGCATTTCTGAAGGTGGTAAAATAATCATCAGTTTTATGAAGAATCCAACATAGTGCCATAAAACTGATGGGACTTAGTTAAGACCCAACTAGCACATCCATGACAGGGCTTTCTGAGCACTTCCCAAAGCATCATTTAGTCAATGTTCAGCATAAAAGGAGGCTTCAAATATTTGTGGGAAAGTTCTATGATCTTTTCATTTTCTCATGAACTTTGGAAGTCCCCTCATAGTTTTGGATGATTACTAACCTGGTCAAGTTTCCTTAGACACACTTGTTCAATAAGATTAGAATCTGACAGGGAATAAATTAAAGTATCCTGATCTTTACAGCTTACTTTT